ATGGCATTCTGAAATTTACGTCTCACCATATTTTTTATGGGAGAGACACTCTTTGTCTGACTCCTCTGATGAGACCTGTCCAGTATGGTTGAACCTCTGGCATAGCTCTCATCTTCCTCAGAGTACACAAGCCCCACAACCACGTCAAGGTAGTGCCTCACTGGGGGAAAAGAAAAGGATTATTATTATTATTATTATTATTATTATTATTATTATTATTATTATTATTGATCATCACACAGTCAGCCAGATGTTCAGACTGGATTTGCATTTTGTCTACCTATCGAGTCCTTACCCAGGACCTGGGATAGGCAGATGTGGATGTTTGGTGGTATTACAGGTATCGTCGCAGGATGGAAGCAGTTCCTAGTAAGGCCGCCTTTTACAATTGACTAATAGCGAATTTGTCAATGCCAATGGTGTTCAAGTGGTGCTCCAGTTTTTTTGGGATTGCACCCAAGGCACCTATTACTATTGGTACTACCCTTGCTTGCTTTTGCCACAGTCTTTCTATTTCTATTTGTAGGTCTTTGTATTTTGTTATCTTCTCCAGTTCTTTCTCGTCTATTCTGCTATCTCCAGGCACTGCCACATCTACTATCCAGACTTTTTTGTCTTTCTTATCGACAGTTGTTAAGTCTGGGGTGTTATGTGGCAGGTGCTTGTCTGTTTGAATTCTGAAGTCCCAGAGCAGTTTAATTTTATCATTTTCTATGACTTTCTCTATTTTATGATCCCACCAGTTTTTGCTTACAGGTAAATGATATTTTTTGCAGATCTTCCAATGCACCATTGTTGCTACTTTGTCATGCCGCTGCTTGTAATCAGTTTGTGCAATCTTCTTGCAACAGCTTACCAAGTGGTCCACTGTTTCTTCAGCTTCTTTGCATAGGCGGCACTTACTGTCTGTTGCTGTCTTCTCAATTTTGACTTTCTATGCATTTGTCCTTAAGGCTTGGTCTTATGCAGCCAGAATTAGTCCCTCGGTCTCTTTCTTCAATTTTCCTGCTCTTAGCCATTGCCAGGTCTTGTTATTATCTGCTTTCCCAGCTATTTTTTTAATGTATTGGCCATGTAGTGCTTTGTCTTCCCATGCCTGTATTCTGTTCTTCATCAGTTTGGTCTCTCCAGTAGTTAGTAAGCCTTCCTGATATACTAATTTTAGTGCATCTTCATCATTGTTCTTCAGATATTCTTCCAAAGCCATTTTTCTTCTTCAACCATCTGATGTACTTGTAGCATTCCACGCCCACCTATTTGCCTTAGTAGATAAAGTCTATCAATGTCACTGCGTGGATGAAGGGCATGATTCATTATCATTATTTTTCTGGGTATTCTTAGATTATATTATATTTTATTATTATTATTTATTATATGATTATTGATTATCGCACAGTCAGCCAAGATGTTTCAGACTGGATTGGCATTTTGTTCTATTATCGAGTCCTTACCTAGGACCTGGGATAGGCAGATTGTGGATGTTGATGGTATTACAGATATCATTGCAGGATGGAAGCAGTTCCTAGAAGGCCGCCTTTTGCAATGACTAATAGCGAATTTGTCAGCCAATGGTGTTCAAATGGGGCTCCAGTTGTTTTGGATTGCACCAAGGCGGCCTATGACATTAGTACTACCTTGCTTGCTTTTGCCACAGTCTTTCTATTTCTATTTGTTAGGTCTTGTATTTGTTATCTTCTCAAGGTTTTCCTCTTTTTTTTCCTCGTCCTATTCTGCTATCTCAGGCTCTGCCACATCTATATCAGACTTTTTTGTCTTTCTTATTGACAATTGTTAAGTCTGGGGTGTTACGTTGCAGGTGCTTGTCTTTGAATTCTGAAGTCCCAGAGCAGTTTAATTTTATCATTTTCTATGACTTTCTCTATTTTATGATCCCACCAGTTTTTGCTTACAGGCAAATGATATTTTTTGCAGATCTTCCAATGCGCCATTGTTGCTACTTTGTCATGCCGCTGCTTGTAATCAGTTTGTGCAATCTTCTTGCAACAGCTTACCAAGTGGTCCACTGTTTCTTCAGCTTCTTTGCATAGGCGGCACTTACTGTCTGTTGCTGTCTTCTCAATTTTGACTTTATATGCATTTGTCCTTAAGGCTTGGTCTTGTGCAGCCAGAATTAGTCCCTTGGTCTCTTTCTTCAATTTCCTGCTCTTAGCCATTGCCAGGTCTTCTTATTATATGCTTTCCCAGCCATTTTTTTAATATATTGGCCATGTAGTGCTTTGTCTTCCCATGCCTCTATTCTGTTCTTCATTTGGTCTTTCTTGTAGGCCAGTTTGGTCTCTCCAGTAGTCAGTAAGCCTTCCTGATATACTAATTTCAGTGCATCTTCCTCATTGTTCTTCAGATATTCTTCCAAAGCCATTTTTTCTTCTTCAGCCATCTGATGTACTTGTAGCATTCCACGCCCACCTATTCGCCTTGGTAGATAAAAGTCTGTCAATGTCACTGCGTGGATGAAGGGCATGATTCATTGTCATTATTTTTCTGGTTATTATATTATTTTATTATTATTATTATTATTATTATTATTATCGATCAGCGCACAGTCAGCCAGATGTTCAGACTGGATTTGGCATTTTGTCTACCTATCGAGTCCTTACCCAGGACCTGGGATAGGCAGATGTGGATGTTTGATGGTATTACAGATATCATCGCAGGATGGAAGCAGTTCCTAGTAAGGCCGCCTTTTGCAATTGATTAATAGCGAATTTGTCAATCCAATGGTGTTCAAGTGGTGCTCCAGTTGTTTTGGGATTGCACCCAAGGAGCCTATTACTATTGGTACTACCCTTGCTTGCTTTTGCCACAGTCTTTCTATTTCTATTTGTAGGTCTTTGTATTTTGTTATCTACTCCAGTTCTTTCTCTTCTATTCTGCTGTCTCCAGGCACTGCCACGTCCACTATCCAGACTTTTTTGTCTTTCTTATCGACAGTTGTTAAGTCTGGGGTGTTATGTTGCAGGTGCTTGTCTGTTTGAATTCTGAAGTCCCAGAGCAGTTTAATTTTTTCATTTTCTATGACTTTCTCTATTTTATGATCCCACCAGTTTTTGCTTACAGGCAAATGATATTTTTTGCAAATCTTCCAATGCACCATTGTTGCTACTTTGTCATGCCGCTGCTTGTAGTCAGTCTGTGCAATCTTCTTGCAACAGCTTACCAGGTGGTCCACTGTTTCTTCAGCTTCTTTGCATAGGCGGCACTTACTGTCTGTTGCTGTCTTCTCAATTTTGACTTTCTATGCATTTGTCCTTAAGGCTTGGTCTTGTGCAGCCAGAATTAGTCCCTCGGTCTCTTTCTTCAATTTTCCTGCTCTTAGCCATTGCCAGGTCTTGTGATTATCTGCTTTCCCAGCTATTTTTTTAATGTATTGGCCATGTAGTGCTTTGTTTTCCCATGCCTCTATTCTGTTCTTCATTTGGTCTTTCTTGTAGGCCAGTTTGGTCTCTCCAGTAGTTAGTAAGCCTTCCTGATATACTAATTTCAGTGCATCTTCATCATTGTTCTTCAGCTATTCTTCCAAAGCCATTTTTTCTTCTTCAACCATCTGATGTACTTGTAGCATTCCACGCCCACCTATTTGCCTTGGTAGATAAGTCTGTCAATGTCACTGCATGGATGAAGGGCATGATTCATTGTCATTATTTTTCTGGTTATTATTATTATTATTATTATTATTATTATATTATTATTATTATTATTGATCATCGCACAGTCAGCCAGATGTTCAGACTGGATTTGGCATTTTGTCTATCTATCGAGTCCTTACCCAGGACCTGGGATAGGCAGATGTGGATGTTTGATGGTATTACAGATATCATCGCAGGGTGTAACCAGTTCCTAGTAAGGCCGCCTTTTGCAATTGACTAATAGCGAATTTGTCAATGCCAATGGTGTTCAAATGGTGCTCCAGTTGTTTTGGGACTGTACCCAAGGCGCCTATGACTATTGGTACTACCCTTGCTTGCTTTTGCCACAGTCTTTCTATTTCTATTTGTAGGTCTTTGTATTTTGTTATCTTCTCCAGTTCTTTCTCGTCTATTCTGCTATCTGCAGGCACTGCCACATCCACTATCCAGACTTTTTTGTCTTTCTTATCGACAATTGTTAAGTCTGGAGTGTTATGTTGCAGGTGCTTGTCTGTTTGAATTCTGAAGACTCAGAGCAGTTTAATTTTATCATTTTCTATGACTTTCTCTATTTTATGATCCCACCAGTTTTTGCTTACAGGCAAATGATATTTTTTGCAGATCTTCCAATGCACCATTGTTGGTACTTTGTCATGCCACTGCTTGTATTATTATTATTATTATTATTATTATTATTATTATTATTGATCATCGCACAGTCAGCCAGATGTTCAGACTGGATTTGGCATTTTGTCTACCTATCGAGTCCTTACCCAAGACCTGGGATAGGCAGATGTGGATGTTTGATGGTATTACAGATATCGTCGCAGAATGGAAGCAGTTCCTAATAAGGCCGCCTTTTGCAATTGACTAATAGCGAATTTGTCAATGCCAATTGTGTTCAAGTGGTGCTCCAGTTGTTTTGGTATTGCACCCAAGGAGCCTATGACTATTGGTACTACCCTTGCTTGCTTTTACCACAGTCTTTCTATTTCTATTTGTAGGTCTTTGTATTTTGTTATCTTCTCCAGTTCTTTCTCTTCTATTCTGCTATCTCCAGGCACTGCAACGTCTACTATCCAGACTTTTTTGTCTTTCTTATCGACAATTGTTAAGTCTGGGGTGTTATGTGGCAGGTGCTTGTCTGTTTGAATTCTGAAGTCCCAGAGCAGTTTTTTATTATTATTATTATTATTATTATTATTATTATTATTATTATTATTATTATTATTATTTTAAAGTGAGTTGGAGCCTGACAAATTTAAATTGGGAAGATTAGTTGGGTTTTTAGATGAGGTGCCATTCCACAACTGGATGGAGGCTGATTTTCTTTTTCTTCCTGTCCTTCCTCAGAAAATCCGTTCCAAAGTGGAACTAGAAGTCCGTAATCTCCCAGAGGAATTATCCCTCTCATTTAATGCCACCTGCCTGAATAATGAAGTCATTCCTGGAGTTAAATCTTGTGTTGGACTCAAGATCGGCGATACAGTGAGTTATGGGGGCCCCATTTTAAGGCAAAAATAATCGTAGAGAGTTGCAATTAAAGCTACAATTAAGATGATGGTTTCCCATCACTTTTAAAAGGAAAGTCACATTTTACTATCGGTACAGCAAACATGCTATAGGTTTAAATATTAACCCCACAACAGCTCTGATAAATATTTATTAAAAGCTTTGCTCTAAGGTATTTTTTTAAAGGAACTTTTCCTGAATAGAATATACATCTTTCCATTATCAAGTTGGGTTTTGTCTCTATTCCCTGAGTCACCAATCTGAAAATTACCACTTGATATCAATCCTATTTTAGCAAATGTCTTCTTGAAAAAGGGGCCTTCATTATTTTGAAATGTCCAGCTATGACCCTCAATTAATTGTAATTACATTTGGAAACATAAATTCCTGCAATGGATAGGTAGATTTTCTGGTCAAAAAAGTTGCTCTCTGCATTTTAACAAAAAACCAACACAAAATTTGTGTTTTTTAGTATCTTCATCCAGATGATTAGGCAGCAAATGTGTCACTATAATGTACTGCTATAACAAGAAGCACCATTTCAACTCTTGCAGTCACACAAAATACACACAAGGAAGAAGCAAAAAATAGAGATAAGTGCCAAGGAATCATGGATCAAAAAGACCTCAATTATAGGACAGTACTTTTTTTATTACAACAATTACAATAAACCTGTTTCCTTCTTTCTTTATGAACAACCTGTTTGTAAAGAACCAATAATACTTTGACATTTCTGAAGTTTTTCAAGAAGACACACAAGGCAACTTTTTAAATTCAGAGATTTGAGAGGAGCACAATTAGACCCACAATATATTTATTTCTGGAAAAGTTGTATATAAAATGGACCTCGAATCTGGGCAATTTAAAACATACTTTCAATGTTTGTTCGTGCCTTTGTCTCCTCTCCTTTACACTCAAGGCGGCTTAAAGTAATATGTACCATATATTCCGGCATATAGGGCGACCCGGTGTATAAGATGACCCCTGAGTTCGATGCCGGGTCGCAAGACGATCGACGCTGAGTCGCATGCCTAGAAAGTCGTCTTATACGCCGGAAACTACCAGTATTTCCGGCGTATAAGACGATCGACGCCAAGTCACATGCCTAGAAAGTCATCTTATACACCGGAAACTACATTATTTCCGGCATATAAGACGATCGACGCCAAGTTGCATGCCTAGAAAGTTGTCTTATATGCCAGAAACTACCTTATTTCCAGCGTATAAGATGACTCAGCATATAAGACAACCCCCAAGTTTGGAGGCTGTTTCAACACTCTCAAAAGTCGTTATATACGGAATATACGGTAGCTACTTTAGCTTTAAAGCAGTCTCTCTCTTCTCCTGACACAATTGTTATTGGAGAGAGAATGTAGAGTGTTTCATTGACAATGAGGTTGGTGATGTGCCAATGTCCAACTGTGATCTGCCTAGCTCCTGTTGGCTACTTTAGGCTGCCTTCTATGCACCCCTCATGGCCATTTTGGGCATGGGCAGCCAAATAATCTATTTCCACAAAGACTCTTGTCTGTGTAGTGGTCAAAGCTAAAATGAATAAACATTGGTTGTTTGAATGAGCTATATGAATCTTAAATTCCTTGGCATGTTGTCTCCTCTTCCAAGGGTGAATGCACACTTTAAGAGTCCAATCTCTTCCTGTTGAAGAGGTTGATTATGCTAGAGAAAAGACATTCACTTGTGTCACTAGCATCTCCTTCAGTATGTGGCTTTTGCCTTGGGACACCTGTGGGACACAAAGTGAGAGGAAAAGGTTGCTGTGGGCAGATAGTGAAGAGAAAATTATTATCTGCAAATTCAGAAATTCTGTACATTGTCTCTGTCTGAACTATGCTAGACAAGAATAGCAGTAGCAGAAGGTGGCTACAGCAGAAGAAAAATCAAGATTTCATATTACCCGGCACACATTTATTCCCTAATTTTTATAGATTGAAGTGAGTAATGGGAATAAATGCAACAGTATGTTCCCATTTGGACATAGAATGTGCTGCAGTCCTGTGGTGTGGACTTATCAGGTCACCTGGGAACAGTTTGATCCTGTTGGACCCAAGGAAATGGATAGGGTACTCAAGGCAGTAAACATGACCGTGAACTAGATCCATGCCCCCTCCTGGCTGGTTCATGGTTACCTGGAAGGTGACATATGGCTGAGTCCTAATGATGGTTAATTAATTCTTGAAGGAGGGGTTTTGCCAGCAGTTTTTAAAGCAGTTGTGGTGTGTCCTCTCTTTAAGAAGCTGTCACCTACCATCATACTAGATACTTTTCATTCAATCTCTCATCTTTCCCTCTTTTTAGAGAAAATAGTTGAGAAGGTGGAGGGTCTGCAGCTGCTGAGAATCCTGAATAAAATGAACTATCTGGACCCCTTTCAGTCAAGTTTCAAGCCCAGATATGGGACAGAAACATTGGTCATGTTTTTGGATTATTTCTGGCAGGAGCAGGATAGGGATCGTGTGTCCATAGTTACTCTTTTTGACATTTCAGCAGTTTTTATATCATTAGTCATGATATCTTTTGGAGTCAGTTTAGGGACCTAGAAGTGTGGGGGCATGGTTTTGTGCTGGTTCATTTCCTTCCTCTGTGGCCAGTCCCAATTTTAGTTGGTTGTGAGCAAGAGGTCTAGTTCTGTGGGATGCCACAGGGCTCAAGACTCTCTCTGCTCTTGCTTAGCATCTAACATGAAGTTGCTGGATGAGGTCATCCATCACTATGGGATGAGTATCAACACTATGCAAATCATACCAGTTGTACATCCACATCTCAGGTGAATTAAATGATACTGTGGATGTTTTTTGCAGTGCCCAGAGACTCTGGGAGTCTGGATCGGGGAGTTCTGGATGAGGAACAATTAGCATCAATTGAATCCCAATAAGATGGAGTGGCTATGTGGGGCTGCTTCTCTGTATCTGATGGTTTATCATCTTTGGTCTTGGAAGGGGTTGTGCTGCCACATATGGAGCCAGTGAGTAATTTGGGGGTCCCTTAGAATTCACCATTGGACTCATGAATCCTGCTCAAGGAGCAGGTAGCAATCATGGCTAGGAAGCCCTTCTCTCAGTCACTCATATCTTGGTCATTTCTCACATGGGCTACTGCAAAGGTGTTCTATATGGGACAGATAGTTGAAGAGTAGCTGGAAGCTGCAGCTGGTGCAGAATATGGCCACACTAGCAATTTTGCACACTCTGAAGATTGTACATATAATAACTTTGCTGCATATGCTGCATTGGGTGCCAGTTTGGTTCTGGGTCCAATTCAAAATATTGAATTTAAAGCCCTTCATGGCATGGAACCAGACTATCTAAGAAACTGTGCTGTTCCAATTACATTAATCCATCTCACCCAGTCAGGCAGGGAAGGCATGTATGGACAGTGCTGGTTAAAGAATTTCCATTGGCAACATCTAAGAAAAAATCCTTCTCTGCTGCTGCCCCCACCTCTTGGCCTTCTGAAAGGGCCTTAAAACCCGGCTCTGATTGGCCTGGGCCTCCAACGAGAGTGTTCCATACTGGAGGTGGCTAGTGGATTAAGAAGAAGATTCATCTCTACTCCATTGTATACTGGTTCCTACTTTAGCTAATTTTTGTTAATTTAAAATTTAATATTCCACCTTTTAATGTTTGTATCACATTGTAAATATCTAGAATTCGTTTGATAGTGAGATGGACAGTAAATACATTTAATTAATTAATATCTTGCTCCCAGTAATGAGGTTGGCCCCTACTCTTTTGGCATTCTGGAAGAGACAGAATTGGCTCTGTTAATCAATGCAAGGATTAAAAAATAGCAGGCAAACGTGGGGTTGGTTGCTAGCCTAAGGATGCTCCCTCCACCTTTTAAATTGCCTTTTAAACTTTGTTTTTATTTTGTTCTGTACTTGGCTTTAATTTTGCTTTTAATTATGTCACTTTTAATTGGTTTTATGGTTTGTATTTGTAAACAACCCAGAGTCACTTGGATAGTGAGATGGGTGGTGTCTAAATTTACAAAATAAAATAAATCAATGGTTACTAAAGGAATAGAAATATTTAACTGGGTTTTTATGTTATTTTTTTGCTGTCCACTACATAAGGCTTCGCTAAAGCCAGTTTCCTCATTATCTCAGCCCAGCTTGTTTATGATCTTGGAGATCAACTTAGGAAAAAAAATGAAAAAGAAATTGAAAATGATTTGAGGAAGGGTTGTGAAGATGAACAACAGTTGAACATTTTTCTTCCATCTACAAATTTCCCCCCTGAAATTAATGAATATATCTCTCCCTTTTTATTAGTACTAGGTTAATTAAAGACAAACCTGTGGAGATATCCATATAGTTTTCTTTGCAATTGTGTGGAATTGTTTCTTGAGGATTTGTTGTTGTTTCTGAACTTTACTGTACTGCCTGCAGCCCTGGATTTCTTAGTGGTCTCTCATTAAAATACTGTGCAAGTTTAATCCAAGCTGATACGTTCTATTGCCTGCTGCAGGTACATCGGCATTACAAGGAAGCTCTCCCCATGCTGATTTTGCAACCAGTAACTCTACCAAACAATTATACATTATTCTGATTGCTTTTTCTCTCTCTTTCTCTGTGTATGCATCTAAACTGAATGTGACATATTTAGGATATTTCCTTAACCTGAGCAATTCTTCCTTTTAAACCTCTCTCCAGGTGAGCTTCAGTGTGGAAGCGAAGGTCCGCGGTTGTCCAAAGAACCAGAAGAACTCTTTCACCATTAAGCCAGTGGGCTTTGAAGACAGCCTGACTGTCCTGTTGAACTTTAACTGTGACTGTGTTTGCCAGAATTACTCTGAACCTTACAGCAATCACTGTAACAATGGGAATGGCACTTTTGAATGTGGGATGTGCCGTTGCCACCCAGGCCGGCTGGGTTCCCAGTGCGAGTGCTCTGAGGAAGAATATGGCCCCTCCCACCAAGACAATTGCAGCCCAGGTCAGGGACAACCACTTTGCAGCCAGCGGGGAGAATGTATCTGTGGCCAATGTGTTTGCTACAGCAGTGACTTTGGCAGGATATCAGGCAAATACTGTGAATGTGATGACTTCTCCTGTGTTCGCTACAAAGGAGAATTATGCTCAGGTGAGTGGTATCAGCCTGAGGGAGTGGGATGGCCTTCTAAGAGCTGTACATACCTGCAAAGAAGAACAATTATTCCAGGGAGTGCACCTCCCCTTTCTGTCTCCATTCTTAAAAAAAAAAAACTAGAAAGTTTAAATACAATAATAATATAACAATATAATCTTTAAATATAATAATTTATCATTAAAGATAAGATAGCATAAAGGAGAAAAATATTACACATTTCCAATACATAGACACTCACATTTTTATTAAGGAACAGCAATCTCTCACAGCATCCTCAGCAGCTAATATAACCAATTCATAACAAGTCCTGAGAGGGATAATTCAGCAACATTTGGAGAATTAAAGTGCTTTATTTCTGGGGTATATTTCAGGTGTTTTATGGCATAATCACATGTGGTTTGAAAAATAAGGGAAGGTGTTATCTTGTTATTTCTCTATTTTTGTCTAGGCTGTGAGTAAGTGCAGGAGTATAAATATATCACAGATTATTCATTCTCCTTCTGGCTAAAGGTTAACTCATATATTTAATTACCATTGGGATTGTAAACATACAGATGCAAAGTTATTTATGTTTGCCAGAGCAAGCTGGAATAACTATAAACACATATAATTTGTCAAGCTTGTGCTTTACTAAAACTGTTGGATCAAGAACTGAAAAATCTGTTCTTTAGGAAAGAATTAAATCAAAACCTTGGTATAGTAAGCAAAAAGCATTTGTATTTGCATGCCTCCAAAAGCAAGCTAAAACTTGCTGCTTAGGAAAAAATACAGTTAAACACTTTCGTACAATATAACCATTAACCTGGTGATCCAGATAGGACTCAATTCACTTTTATGAAAGAAGAAAAAAGTATTAGAAGCAGCTATCTGTATGGAACTCATGACTGCTGTGTGTATGTGACTCAGTGTTAAAGGAGACGATTGCTGTGATTTGATTATGAGAAGTGGAAGAATTGTACTTGCTTGTGTCTAGAACAACAACTCATTCAATTCCAGGGAAGTTTCTGTATGTGCTACAAAATACAACTATTGTGCAATGTGGAATGTCAGGATGATCCTCAAATACTGATAAAACAGGCTGGCCAGGTACTCATCACAGAACTTAATCGCTGTGTTTTTTTCTAAAAACTTATTGTACTGTTATATTGTTCTGTTCAGTGGCCACCAGGATAGTTAGAATTAATCTGGGTTGCAATATTCTCATTTGGCCTAATTTTCCACTTGAGAAACACAGATATGGCTGCTTCTGCTTAATAATAAACAGCCAGGACGCAACTGGAGGGCACAGTTTTGTACACAGTAATTTCAGGATTTCAACTTGGTACTACAAAGGGAAGGAAAGTAGTTGCTTTTCTCAAGAACTCTTTGTGCAACCATTTCTAACTTGCTCTGAGAAAGATGCTACAGGGCACTAGTTGTCATAGAAATATGATAAAAAAAATGAATGTGGGGTTCTTAATGCTCTCAGGACTTGTTTGTTTTCCTGCAAACATTTAATTACCAAACTAGATAACATCACCAGTACTAGTAGGAAGTGAAATTTGCTCAAAACTGAATGTGGATTCTGAATAGTTTTCCCATATCCCTTATTGGTCCCGCTGTTACTGTATACTTCTAAGAGTAATCTGACATTCAGATGAAGATGTTCCTCAACAAGGAATTGGAAAGATTTCCCTAACATATTATATTTCTTTGTGACATGGGACTTTAATTAATGTTGTGTATGAAATGAGATAGCTTGCAAATTAATTCTGAGATGTGGAGTTTAGCATGAAGATCCAAAATCTAATCGGACATCTGTAAGTGTTCCAAGAACCATTTCTATTTTTGTTGTTCTACTTACTCCAACCCTCCCCTTCAATACCCTTTGATGAAGCCATTACTTGTTTTTTCCCAGACAAATAATTATTTCTTAGCTATGTGACAAATTCACAAACTGTTTCCTAATATTGTATATATTTTCCTGGTATTGCTAGAGATTTTGTTCCAGCCAGCCCCTTATTCAGCTCATCATCCCCATGATTCACTGGAATTTCTCATCGACTAGTCTTCATTATCATTCATTCTCTGCTGTCTGTCAGCCTATTTGTCTGTATGTCTCTCCCTCCCTCCCTCTGTTCATGAATTTAGAAGGTAGGTCAATACAATAGAAAAATACTTCCGCTGGTTATTTCAATGGCAGCTTTTTTTGAGGCTTCTAAGCTTTTCTCTCATAAGGCAATAACCATCAGATTCTAATGACTTCACTGCTCCAGTAGTTTCAAGGGTCAGTGCACATCTGAACAAAGTGTATGCAAGGAGAAGTCCTAGTTATTTGGCTATGTTGAAGTAAAGTATTAAGAGCAGAAACTTTGTTGCCTATAGCTTTCCTTATCCTAGAACAGTGTGCTGGCTGATGAATTCTGGGATTTGAAGTCTGCACATTTTAAAATTGCTGAGGAAGTTATGAAACACTGTTCTAGAGACACAATCTGCACTATCTACAATGATTAATTTAACAATTATATTTCAACCTTTCTGGGATGGTATCAGAACTGTTAAAAGAATGTACCATTAGAAGATGTTTTGGTGGGTAGAAGTTGACAGTCATATCTTGTGGTCTGGTGAGTCTCGAGTGAGGCAAAAAGGTTTCCCCTACACATTTGAGAATCTGACTTTTCAGCCTTTTTGTATTTTTAATTAATTGTGCATATATACATACAGTATGACTCAGATCTAACTACATGCATAAAATGATGAGGAGTTGGTAAAATACCGGAAATCTTTCTCCAGATCCCTGGGGAAACTTGTTTGGTCCTGCTTAGAATGTCTGAAGGGAATCCCTACAGGCTTTGAAGCCAATCTTTGGAAGGAAGAAGCCTTGAGCTCTTTGGAGAAATTGGGGAGAAATTGCCTATAATAAAATAATACAAAGTATGAAAACTTTCTGATTATTAACATTTGAATGACAAAAAGGGGTCAGAAAAAAAGAACCACTTCCCTAAAATCAGCCAGTGATCTCCAGAAAGTATGTTATCCTGTTTAACTTTTGTATTTGCTTTCCATGTGTTTGGGGAGAGAGGTTGAGAAGGTAGAAGGGGACTGGCAACTTAATGCTAAAATTGACATCTTAGCATTAAAAATAAAGACCTATTTTCATACGATTGTTTGCCTGTAGGACATGGGAAATGCATCTGTGGGGACTGTGCCTGCAACCCTGACTGGACTGGAACATATTGTAACTGTACAACTCGGACAGACACCTGCATGTCCAGCAATGGGCTGGTGTGCAGTGGGCAAGGCCGAGGATACTGTGCCTGTGGGAAATGTGTCTGTACTCAGCCTGGCTCTTTCGGAGATACCTGTGAGAAGTGCCCAACCTGCCCTGATGCCTGCACCATCAAAAAGTGAGTGACAAATTCCTATTTGGTTTCATAAGAAAGAAACCAGTTCTTGGGGGTCTGAACCTTAGGATTTACTTTCATTCCTGAATCTCGGGGTAATTATTTACAATCCTAGGTAAATGGTACCTGCATTCCGCAGGAAAGTAATTGATCTTTATTCAGGCCCAAAAGCTGACTACTCTTGACCTAATTTCAAGATTAGCTCTCTGAACTAAATTTCAAAAACATTTTCCAACCTTGGGCTTCTGGCCAAATGATCTTGATCCCCTCAGCAGCAAAGAACAGTAAGGAGGCTGCCCGTGATGTGGCCTATCGTCCTCAGAAGATGACCCCAAGGGTTGCCACACATAAATCAAAGATTTTCCTTACGTTTGGCACAAGTTTGTCCTCAAGTTCTAGTCCCAAGCTTTCAGATGTATTATATCTTAGCTGTTATGCTGCTTTTCTCTAACATCAGGTCTGAAACTCAGGATATTTAGAACTACTAATGGTTTGGGTATTCAGACTCAGGGAATGCACAATAGAGTCAAAACCTCTTCACTTTTTTTCTCTCTCCACTGACAGTTCAAACTCAGGAAGGGAGAAATCCAGTGGCAGTGTTATAAGTAATGATGCATGGCCAGCAAAATTCCTTGAAATTCAAATTATCACATGTCCTATAGCTGCAAAGTCCTAAATATTCTGCATTGTCTGATGAGATGTGTGTTACAAGCCTGTTTCTTGTTTTAGTGTGTGTGCTGCTGAAGTGAGCACAGAAAACTTCTTTCTGATCTTTTAGCAATAATCCTTTTCAGAATCAGGAACACTGACGCATCCACACGTTAGTAATATCAGCATTTAATAAGATCAAGTACCTTCCTAGGATAACCATTATAGGTTAAAATGGCAGTCGATAAACCTCTTTGAAGATTGCATCTGATTTTCAAGGATATACTGTATTGACACATGGAATCTGTAGGATCTTGCTGCTTTTGTCAAAATGAGGAAAGCAATGTTCAAAGTTAGGTACCATGTGTGCAAAAAAACCCCACGGACTTTGCATTGCAATGATGCAATACTATTTTCATTCTGTACCTCTTCTTCTTCCTTTAAATTTGGCAATAATGAGGGTTAAATGCAATTTAACCAGGCAATAGGTTAAATGCATAATAACAAGTGATGACCAGTTGTGAAGACTTTTAACTTTTTCCATAACGTGACTGAGCAAATAAAATGAATTCCTGTCATTGTCTCCAAAATCTGCATTTAAGGAAATTGTGGTGGTGCTCGTAGAATATTTGTCAAAAATTGGACAACAAGTTGCTGATTAATGGTGTATCAATTTGCCCTAAAACTGACCTGTTCTGCTAAAAGATTGTGTTCACACCTCTCCCTAAATTTGAAGTATGAGTGCCTGGGATGAAGCTCACTGCCTGTACTTGACAGGCCAATGGGAATAAAATCTGTAGGGTCATCCCTCAGATCTTTTTAAAACAATGACTGCTATTTCCAAATCATCAGGAATCTGGCCATGCTTGTGAATGTCAATATTTGTGAACAGCAAGGACAAATTGGAGTGCACTTTCTGAATTGTTTTTTATCTGCTCAAATCGGGTTAGATCTTATCCCAGGAGCCTTCCAATGTCTTAACAATCTTAATCAGATTCCTAGCCTGTGATGACATTACTAGTGGCCACTCAGGTAAGTTGTCTAAATCCTACCAGGAACATTCATAACTCAATATCTCCTCCTTGTAGAATTAACTGAAATTGCTTGCCGCCCATCTCACTGTAAAACGACTATATAACAGTGAAACTGTCTTTGTCACCCATAACTCAGATTTTCTATAGTGAAGTATTAAAATAGGCCTGGTAATTTTATCTGAGTGTCTGAAAAAGTTCTGTGCCAATTGTGTTTCATAATATTTCTTTCCTAGCAGTAAAGCAATTTTTTAAAATAGCTTTTTGTTTTACTGAAGAAGATTCTGAGCAGGTAGAACATTATTCTTGTGTTCTTTCCACATGCATAACAAGCTATGGTGACCATATTTTCTTGGCAAAAAATAAAGGGGAAAAAAAACAAAAAGGGGGCAAATCTCAAAGAATCAAAATTTTAAACTGTTTCTTTATAATTATGCTTTACAAAGGAAAATTCTGGAGTAAAGCCAAGAAAAAATATATAAAATGCATATTGTAATAAAGTATCTAATCTCAGACAGTATAGATAAATATTTTTAAAAGACAGCTCAATTTCTATATTTTTCACCTGAGTGTGAAAGGATGTGCATTGTGGTTTCTACAATGTAAGTTAAATGATAAAAATAAAGAAAAAACGTTAATTTTTGGGGAGAGGGAATGATATGAGGTCACTATAATTACAGCTGGCAAAAAGCTTTTTTTTTTTGGCTTTTCTGTTTTTGCTCAACACACAGTTTAGAGTAAATTAATGTGGACTAGCAATGTTAGGTTAAATAGGTTAAACGGTTTTTTGGTGGTTTGGGTTTTTTTTTTTTGGTTTGGTAATCCTTACACTGTCTTGCTACATATGGAAACAGGAAGTTCTGCTGAAAGCAAAGAAAGATAGGAAGTTTTGGAAATGTCCTGAAATAATACAGTCTGCAATTACTTTGTCCACATGGAGGAACAATTGTTGCTTTCTGCTGGAAAAAAAATATAAAGTTGATAAAAGATTTCATCATTAACCTGACTCCCATGGTTCAAATTGTCTGGTTTTTAAAGGGATCACTGTCTGAAGTAAACAGTGCTCTCTCTCTCTCTCTCTCTCTCTCTCTCCCCCTCTCCCTCCCCCTCTCCCTCTTGCCCATCTTCTAATCAGCTCTGGATTATAAACTCTTCTGTTTTAAACTCTTCATATCCCTATTGTCACTCTCTACAAAGCTGTACGGAGTTCAAATTAACTTTTATCTTTTCCATTTTCTATTTCTACTCTATCAGAGTCTTTACTATTCAGTCACTTTTTCTACGGTGATTATTTCTGGCTAGTTTACTTTTATTCCCGGGCGTTTTGGTTTCTGTTTATTCTGTTTAAACAATCTGTTTATTCTGTCTGTTCATTCTGTGGCCAAGACTCTCAAGCTCTAAAATAGAAACCTTGTCCCTCTCCCTTCCCCTCTCCCTTGCTTGATAGGCAGCTGGGCCTTCCTGAGGCTGGGGGAGGAGAGGAGAAGAGGTGAGCAGTGGCAGCCCATCCCTCTTCCATCAGTCCATGATTTTGTTACTTTTATTGATCAAAGTGTGTGTGTGGGGGGGATGTTTGCATAAATGAAATTATTATCAAAGTTTATTTCAGTAATGTTGCTGCTTGTATGATACAGAACCTTTCCTGATGGTAAGTATAAGATCTTCATAGTGCATCTCTAGACTGGACGTTTAAATTCAGAAAGTTTAAATCCATATGTTACATGTGTCAGTTGTAATTTAAACAGACATTGGCTTGTTTGCTGGACCTGTGGCTGCAGCAGTGCACTTCAGTAGGCACACTGGTAACCTGGTGCTCTTGTGCTCATTCTCATTTTGGCTAGGATTGTCTGTTAGGCTTTATTGCTCCATGCATGCAGATCTGTTCTCCAAATAATTACTGCTTTAATGCCTTACTATCATATCTACTGGCCTTTCATAGGACTTGAGCTGGCTGAATAACCAGTCAAATTGTATGAGAAATGGGGTCTGATCACATCACCTGATTCTTACTTGGTTTTCCCATCCCTTAATTATGGCTGCTGAATCAGAATCATTATCTTGTGGCCACTTGTAGGCATGTATTCTTTTTTTTTTAATGTCTGTTTATCCTCTGGATGAATCTGAATGCTCATTATTTTCTGTTCTATTTCCTGCTCCATATCTGTCTGCCCTATGTCAAGATCTCCATTGGATTGCATTGGGATATTATCTGCTCTTTTTAACTGATAGGAAGCCATATCCTGCATGCTGATTCACAGTTTTAATAATCATTGAATGTTGTCACTTATTTATTTCTTTTCTTGTTGCTACAAAATTTTTAGAATGCTTTTGTTGCAGTTGCAACTAGAGTCAGCATAGTTTTTAGTGCCTCTATTCATGAAGATTTTTTATTATTGTTCCTGTTCAAAGTGGGAAAGAATTTTGAGAGTGGATTTTCATCTGTTTCTTTTGCTTCTTTTTACTCCTCCCTTGAGGATGACTATAACCCATATCTTAACTCAACCTGATAAGATATCATTTCCCATTTCATATGTCATCTCCACCGTTTTCATGCTTCAGTAAAAGAAAGTATATAGTTATCTGCCAATCTCCTTAGGAAACAAACAACCTCAATGGTAGAGCAGGACATTTAAAAGTTAATACAATTATTTAATAGACTCTATGGGAAGCCAAGGCATTCCTCTCGGATAACCATGGTAAATTTGGCATCTTCACCATCCCAGTCCAGTAGTGCAAACTGTTCAAGAATAAAAAAGTTGCAACTCATTTGTCATTCTAAATGAAACAGTTCCTTTGTTCTGAGTGGTTCAGAGCATCTGGTTCTGAGCTTTCTGTGCTGTAATTCTTTTTTGAATTTGGTAGCCATTCTTTATGTGGCTATTGCTTGTATTTCCCATCTTCATTTCAATACACTGCTTCTCTCCCAGATTTTGCAATGATAAAACTAAATAGATGCTACCTCACCAGAAAAAAACACCAAAATGAGGCAAATAAGTCAAGTGTGGCAGGAACTCTACTCTATATTTTTATTACTGTTGAATTAGATATCACAATTTTTAAATTGGATTATTTTCAATAATTCTGACCAAGAGCCTAGGAATCATGGAACAACAACAATAACAATTTGAACTATATATATGATGCACATTTAGAGGTAATACCTTAACTGTACTATAACTACATCTAACCATACTGAGAAAGAGAGAAAATGTGGCTACTGTTGTGCAAATGCTATTAGAATGTAACACAGAGATTTCTTGTGTTCTTTCGAAAAGTTCTTTAACCAGGTTTGATTGGGTCACCCTTCAAATAAAGAGTGCATCCTCATTAAAATAAAATGGAACCAGGAAACTAACAGGTAACAGAGTAAGACATCATAGAGTTGTGAGAGGAGGAGGAGTAAATCTAGGCTAGAGAGAAGACATCACATTCCTGGTTTTATAGGGATGGGACATGGCAGCAATAATCACTATATCTCCCTGTCTCCTTGCTCATGACTCTTTCTTTTGCACAGGGAATGTGTGGAATGCAAGAAGTTTGAGAGAGGAATCCTGATAGATCAAAACACCTGCAACCGCAATTGCCGGGATGAAATTGAATTGGTTCAGGAACTTGGTATGTAAGAGTTATGGTGGGATTTTTTTTTTTTTGCAAGAATTGTTTTTTCTCCTAAACTCCTCTTCCTCCTCCTCCCTGTTCTGACTTAGAAACTTTCCAGATGATTCATTTGCTAAGTTATCACTGAGAACATTTAGATCTCCAATGACAGCCAAGTGACTAATCTGTGAATATTGCCTGCTTGAGGTACAGGTAGTCCTCAACTTACAGTCATTTGATTAGTGACTGTTCAAAGTTACAATGATGCTGAAAAAGTGAGTTATGACCAGTCTTAGGGCTTACAACTGACCCAGTGTTCTCATGACAACATGATCACAATTCAGGTACTTGGCAAGTGGCATGTATTTATGGGGGTTGCAGTGTCCCAAGATCACATGACTGCTATTTTGGACCTTCCCAACTAGCTTCCAACAAGCAAAGTCAATGGAGGGAAGGGAGGCACATTTGCTTAACAACCAAATTATTTGTTTAATCACCATGGCAAAATAGAGTTGTAAAATCAGGCATGGTCACATGAGAACTCACTTAAAAACTACATCACTTAACAATGGAAGTTTTATCCCAATTGTGGTTGTATTCTGAGGATTATATGTAGTGTTGAACATAGATTCAGTACCATCTACCCAAACAATAAACCATGCATGTGCCAGGCTTCTGTTTTATCTGGACTGGAAGCAGTTAATCTCAGAGAATTTATCATTATAGACAATTAAGGTTTTAACACAAGAATTCAAGAAGAACTCTCTTTTAAATGAGACACCTATAAATAGACAAACTATCTAAGCAGAGTTCGGTCTGTTTCCCTTTGCTTTTTTACATAATAAAGGAAGAAGTTTGTCTTTTTTTATGAAGGAGGGGCATTTTCCAGTAGTTGGCAACTACTGTTTTCTTTATTAATATTAGAAAACTCTCACCAGCATGTCTTTCTTCCTTGTTCATAATCAAGGAAAAATAGAACAGTAATGTCACATCAATTCCCCATAGAGATATTAAATTGCATCAGAAATAAGGATTTTTAAAATGATCTTATAGTCTTTTATTTTTGGACTTCATAGCTAGTTTAAGAGTCATTATTCCATCAGTTCCCACCTCTAAAACTTATTCAGAAGGATAGCATAATATATAGTACCAGAGATCACTGAAAACTGAGCAGACTCAACAGGAGTTATTATTTAAAAAAAAAAATCAAAAGATTTATAAAACTGCCTTTCTCATAATTTGTGACCTCTGGGTGACAAACAAAAGATATTTCTTTTAAAAAGAGAATAAATACAATGATAACCTGTCCCAAACCAACAGAATAAAAAATGTAAGCCCCTAATGGAGGCCCACAGTAAAAATATGCACACATGTAACAGAACAGGTTCATCTACCATCCTGGCCCAAATGCATAGGAGAGACAGGTCTTTACAGATCTACCAAAGGCCAAAAGACACATTACTATTAGAACTCTGGGTGAAGCTCATTCCAAAGATCAGATGCCACAACAGGGAAGGCATGCTCTCCTAGGTCAGAGAGGGAACCAGAGCATGCCAACCCTATGTAGCCTTATGAGATGGGCAAAGTTGACTGCGAGAGATGGCTCCCCAAGTTATTTATTTATCTGATTGATTAATAGGCTGCCTGACTCTCAGAACAACTTTATCTGAATAATGTCTGGAATAGACCTCATGGCTTTGCATGTGCTTCCTACTCCCTCCATCCCTAGCAATAAGTTGGTCACTATCCAGTAATATGTGAAACAATAAGGGTGAAGAAATTCTAAGTTTCACTGTTTCCATTGCCCTGAAGCTATCAATAAAGGCTTTTCTCTGTGCTTAGCTGAATTCACTCTCAGTGAGCATGGGAGGGGGGGGGGAATGTACTTTCAGACTTGCAAGATTCTGTTAATATAGCTTTACAATAAAATACAATTAGCTCATCTGACTGTATGTTTCCTGTCTGGTCTGCCCCTCAAAGGTGCCAGTGGCTGATGCCATACCCAAAACTAGGTGGGCACATTTCAGAGAAGACCCAGGCTCCCCATGTCCAACAAACAAATCTTTGTAGAACATACAAAGTTGGCTGCCTTCTGTGATTAAGTTGTGAATGGGTTAGGCTTTATTGCAGGCTGACTTGGCATTAAAAAGCAGCAGCAGAAACCAGAACCACCTACAACCCAATGACTGAATACCAGGGCAATGCATAGGAGGCTGGAACATGGAACTGGCACCCATCCAAATACATTTGTTGTTATCTTCCAACAAAAGGTTATTCATTAAGACAATTCCAGCAACTTCCATGCTAGAATCCAGCCTGAAACCAACTGGTAATGGATCCAGATAAATGGTCTAGTCTACAAGAAAATGCCTGATAAGTTTACTAAAAATAAAACAGTACACATTAGCTGATAAAAATAAAGGGAGGATGTTTCAAGAAGTAAATTTACAGGCATTTTAACTGCCTGCTGGAAGCAGTCAATCAGTCTCCTTCAGCTACATGTAATTAGTCAAGAAAGGTTTTAAAAGTAAGGAATTAGGCCACAGTGCTGTAGCAACCAAGAATAAAATAAATAACCCCACAGAGGGTGAAATGTTTATGTTCTGGACATATTCTTGGATGAAATAAATAATGATGTTATATTTTGCTTGTGCCAGACATGCACAATTTTTTTCTTCAGATATGTCAATGCCCACTTATTGAAGGTTTCTTAATAATGCCTTACTCTATCTACCCAGAGTAAGGCCAGAATTATTGAGAAAACGCTATTAGAAAATATTACTGTGTAAGAAGGAAAGGATGTTGGTGAAGCATTCACGATTATTGTCACTGGAAAGTAGACTATAGAATGAATATAATTTCCTGGGAATTTTGATCTACTCTTAACTTTTTTCATTTTTAGTCTGCATTTTGGAAAACCAGAAAGCTATCCTAGCTTTGCAGAACACAAGAAGAAATTCAGGCTGTTCCTATTAAGTCAGCTTCATATTTTGTAGCAACACTGATGTTAGTACCAACCATGTCAACTGTTCCAATAGCCCACAGGAATGCATTGGATTTAATTGGCCTATGGGTGAAGCATCCTAATGGGCCCATTGCCTCAGGAGAAGTGAATGATGGCTGAAGATCTGCAACTTGAGAAGGGATTTTAAAAAATTATTCTGTATTTTCACGCTTCTTTTGAGAGTAGCAGATACAAAATGTGATGTGCCACATGGATCAATGATAATGGACACATGTCTGACAAAATAGTCTTTACATAGGTGGTGAGATTTGTCAGAGTCACCCTGTTTTTTAACATCCCTAGTGACATCTCTAAATGCTAACAATTTCTTGAATAGTGTCAGGGAACTAATGTTCTTTCCTTTGTCCTCTTGTGCAGGAGACAAGGGGAAAGATGCTGTGAACTGTACATACAAGGATGAGGATGATTGTGTAGTGTACTTCCAATATTATGAGGACTCCAGTGGCAAATCTATCCTCTATGTTATTGAGGAACCAGGTAAGGGTCAAGGGCCACTAAAATAAGTCTTCATTTTGGATGACCAGTTGATACTTTGCAGGATAAAAAATGCTAGGTGTTCCATATTAATTTGGAATGTATGAGAGATGATCATAATTATAGTGACAAGGTGAGTTTCTTAAATTCATATTTAGAGGTACCTTATTTGAGAACAGTATATGGTTATGGAAAAACCCAGATTCTGAGACATGGGATGAAATACTTTGCTTTTCATGTTTCAATTATTTTTTTGGCAAAGTACATAATCATATGAGAGCAATATAGGAATGGTTCATGAATTAATATATGCAGAATAAAAGGATTAGGAAGAGACAGAACCAATCATTCTTAACTGTAGCCAATCAATTCAGAAAGAGATCATTGCTAGAATTTTTTGGGAAAAAATATTTCTCCTTAGTCTAGGACGTCAAGGTAAGTTAATGGCATTCCTCAACCTGAACTCATACTGAAAAAAACCTTAATTATTGGATGTTTAAAACAAAATTTACCTAAGCAGTACGTCTGATTTAAATAATTCATAAAGATGGCAGGATTCTGTATTTCTTATTGCAACATTTTTTAGTTCACTATATTAGTGAATATAGTTCTGACTAAAGAGCAGTGATTCAATCTGGCAACTTTCAGTTCAGCATTAAAAATATTATCTGTCATTCATGGATTTAAGCAGGCTGCTGGATTTGTCTGCTTTGATATTTGACTTAAGTGACTAAATGCGAGTCCTGTCTCTACTTGCTGAGAGATGAGCAAACAAGACCACAAGACACTGACTATGCCATAAACCCCAATAAGGCAATATTTCTTTCTGCGTGCTTGCCAGCATGAAGGGGCACTAGAAACCTTCAAAGAGAGTGTTCTAAACCCAAAGAGGGTAATAAAGCTCTCATTAGTTGCCAGAAGCATGCAATAAATGATATACCCTCACCACAGGGTGTTAACTTGGCCGATGACTCAGACTGCACTTAAAAGGTTGACAACAATGGAGTCTCGGGGCAGATTTTGAAGGAGCTTAGCCAGACCTCCTTGGACAGCAATTTGAATCCAGCTAATACCTCATGGGAAACCATAAAAGCTGCCACGCTTCCTATCACAGCCTAGAGCCTTTAATCCCTCTCTTCTCCTTAAGCGAATATTAAAAAGAATGATGTAATTAGGAGAATAGGAGATATTTCAGCAACTAGAAAAAAATCTGGAAATGAAATGATGGAAGAAATTGATCTGTCAAAACTTGTTTGACAGGATGCAAATTGTTGGGACCTGCAACCTTCCTGGGTCATTGAAAGTGTATGATTTTTCCCAACTCCGCTTTAAATTCTCACAGGAACTATGTGCTGCTATCATCTTGGACATATTTTTTTTCTATTGTTTTATTGACTTGGCTGTCAGAAGGAGTTTGCTATTATCAAAATTGGAAGTTTTCTCCAACTATGTTTTGAGGATCGGATCAAAGATATGCTTTCTTTTGTCAAACTACTCTATAATGGTCCCTTTAGGCTGAAGAGCAGATGGCTCTAGAATAACATTTTTGGGGAAAAAAGATTTTAAAACTAATGTACTTAAATTGTACATCTTATAGTGGCTACCTCCTGAATAATTGTGCAGCTATTATTCCTATTAGTCGCCACTTAGCATGAAGGAAGGTCTGACATGTAAGCTGAACACAAAGAATTTTTATAAATGATTCATTCTTGCTACGAAACATCCATCTTTCCACCATAACAATTATGTGTCAGGTATTCATGGCACAAATTAGAGAACAAGTGCTGCAAAAAGATGCTTGCAAAATAACTCTTCTGGTTGTTTCTGACTAGTTATACTGTATGCTCCTAAATCAAACAGTAATCTTTGATTGCTGCCCCTTAGTAGAGATTTCCTTTGGCAAAGCAGCTTGATCAAATGCATGGATGAATGTCTTTTTAAATGGACTCCAGAAGATGGTAGAGGACAGGAAGACCTGGAGGAACATTGCCCATGGGGTCACAAGGGGTCGGACACAACATTGCAACTAACAACAACAACAGCAGCAAAAGTTAAGAATTTAATGGTTGGAGTGGTAATTTATAACTTTGCAGTTCTGTTTTATGATGTTTTCTACAGATTGTCCCAAGGGACCTGATGTCTTGGTAGTTCTCCTTTCAGTAACTGGAGCCATCTTACTTATTGGCTTGGCTGCTTTGCTCATCTGGAAACTGCTTATTACCATCCATGACCGACGAGAATTTGCCAAATTTGAAGAAGAGCGAGCCAGGGCTAGATGGGACACGGTAAGAAATATTATAATGGTGTGAGGGGACAGAAAGAGCAAATATTTTGCTTCATCCTAAGAGGAGGGGAGGTTGCAATGACTTATTGTTTTATTTCCCTGACATAACAACCTATTGTTGACTCTGAATCATCCATATTACAATATATATATCAGTTTTATAATGTGTGTTGTTGAGAGTGTGTTGTTAGCATTCTCCCAATAGTATGTTCTTAATTAAAAAAAACCTGATGCCTGAATGTCATTTCATCGGCATTTTCCTGCCCTCTCCTTTGCTTTATGGGTTAATGGTTGTGCAGAAATGATTATGAAAACACACACACACACACACACACACTGGAGAAATATCTTTTTCTATATCTTCCTAGGAGATATACAATTTCATCATAGACTTATATGCCTACTGCAATTTCTTAAATAATCCTGGAATCCACTCACCTGTTAAAGAATCCTACTTTGAGTTTTGAGGATGCCTTGGCAACTGTTAAATCAGTTGCCAAGTATACATGCATCACCATGTATCTATTAAGTAACAGATACAATTATTCTTCTCGATATTTTTACACTCTGTTTTGTCTTTTAGGCCAACAATCCCCTGTACAAAGGAGCTACTTCCACCTTCACCAACATTACATATCGTGGGAATTCATGAGATTACAGTCTTCCAAGGTCTTCTCCATTCATGTTTACAGAACTGTCTCTGTTACGGGTGTGAGAGATTTAAACAAACAAACAAAAAAAAAACAGCCATTGCTCAAGAGCCTTCACTGTTCTGCTGTCACAAGAAAATATCTGCAGTGTGATTCTTCCAAGACTCTCTTTTTTACCTCAGCTCGCCCAGGGCTATGGCCTGGACACATATACCGAAGAAGAAAGCAGGACTTGCTCTTCAGTATGAACAGCACTGCATAAATCCAGGGTTAAAAAAAGATTCTATCTGAACAAGGAGTCATAATTATTTAGCTTTATAATCTAACTCAGATGTGAACTAGTGAAATTTGGGGTAGAGGAGCTTTGAAAGATTCATGTTATCTAAGCCTATTACAAGCTGAACCCAAAGTCCTTCACCCAGGCAGAGTTTCAGATGGTTACTGGTGCTGCTGGTGCTGCTGCTACTGCCCCTTTCCTTTAACTTTCCAAACATACAAGGCATTGGTTGGGTTGGTCAAGGGAGCAGTGTGCTGCACACTGCTGTCCAACATGAATAGTTCAAGGAAGCAAGGGAGATCCTTTCTTCAAAAATCCTTGCTCCTAATAAAGTTAGCTTAGGGGAATGGAGTACAGGAAAGGAGTTCATTCTGAGGCTTAGGAACCTGTCCAGTTCTATTTTACTGTCATTGCAATTGCAAACTTGAACTTCCAAATGAATTCAGAAATAAGGCATGTTCTATTGGAGGCTTAAAGAAAAATACATTTTGAAATCCAACATTTTACATACTACATCAGAATTCCAATATTTTTAGACTATTCTTTTTGTTATATTTATCCCAAGATTATAATATAATAAATTCCTTGCTTTTAATTTTTAGAAGGAAAGAGTTCCTAGAGTGTATAGATGATTTGCTTTCTCTAGTGAAAAAAAGCACTCAGCATTAATCTCTTTTGTATGCTGACTTCACATATTTCTAGGCCTCTAGCTCAGATTATATTCCTTCTAGATAATATTTCACATAACATTTGTATCTTGGTAGGTTTACACATGATAACAAGTTCTAGTGTAGAATTTTTGTTATTGGCTTAGCATCATGTACAAATCCATTCACTGTATTGATATTGTATATAAACTGGCCTCTGGCCATTTAACTTTTCTATAGAAATAGCACGAGTTGCACTAGATGATGCCCAAAGGGCCTTTCACACCTTATAGCCTATGCTTCTGGTCAACAAACCATAATTTTAAAATCCTTACTGCAATATGTGGACTTCAGCACCTGTGCATGAGTATATACTTGATCTTCTTGGGGGAGGTTGAAGAAGAAAATGTAGGTCAGCCATAGAACATATGCTTTACATACCAGAAGTCCCATGTTTAATCCCCAGCATATCAGTCTAGAAATCTATTGTCCAGCAAGAGTGAGCCCTTTGAACATTGCTGCCTACAAGTACAGTGCAAGGTAACTACATAAATTCATATCATTCACCATGTAAACCCAGAAATCTCCTTATCAGTAAATGACATAATAGGTAGGATTTGCCACTTGCTTAACAATGCTTCACCCAAAACTTTGGGATAGGTTCTTCTCAGGTCCTGCTTTTCACTCAGGGAATCAATGCTCATCTAGGTGACTGTCCTATATGACCAGAAAACTCTCCCTCAAGTTTTCTGAAGCAGGGGGGACTTGCTGAAACAACCTGATTAAATTCTTGAGATCTTTTGTATCATAGTCTCTAATGTAGGTAAAGAATGGAAGATGTTTGGCAGGATGAAGAATTGTCATATCTGACTTTCAACAGTTCTTTCCATCCTGTGGCTTTTTCCATCTAGAGACTTAATTGCCATATCTAAACTTGGGAGCAGAATAATATAATACATGCCTTTCCTTTCTCTTTTGTTTTCTGCAACTGCATTAGCACCTTCACTGCTCTAACACTTCCTATAGATATATGTGGCATCTATAGATCTCTCTGCTGAAGAGTAGCACCTTTCCATTAGAAATAGCTGCTTCCGTAATTAAGAAAATGATATTTCATTCTCCTACTAATAAGTGTTGAAAACAAATGTTACTAGAAATACTAGAAAGATTTTCGTAAAAAGATTTTTTTTTCTTAAGATTTTCTCTGGAATGGTGATTTGCACTGAACCAACTTTGAGGTATTCCTTTTATTATTTTCCCCAGTCATTCTTCTAGTTCCCTTATCCCAAAGTCAATGTATTTTCATTTCCAAAATTGTTGAATCCTAACTATGTTGGTTAAAAAAAGGGGGGGGGAAGAGGCCAAGAAGTGAGGCTACTCTTTCCTGAACTGAGATCATAATGAAGGGCAGAATTATTTTGAATAATGTTGGTTAAAAGTAAGGCCAATGTGGCCTTTTGTATAAGTAAAAGAGTGCCTGTGGCACATATAAATAAAGAGTCTCACTAATGTATTTGACTTGTTTAATTAATCTTTCTCAATTTTATTTTTATTGTATTTGCTTTTACTTCATTGTAGTATTTACTTTTACTTTATTGTAAAATGATAGAAGTTCTATTTTAGTTCAGGTAAAATATAAAAACTATATAAATCATGGAGGGAAATGAATTAAATAATACAAACACTAACACAGAAAATAGCACAGCACATTCAATATGAAATCATCATTAATAGCAGTAGTCAATTACTTCTAAGGTTCCTGGTTCTGCCATCATCAAAAAGACCCCCCCCCTTTTTTTTGGTAACCATTTAAGAGGAAATTGAATGATTGCCTCTGCTGAACATTTCAGAGTCAAAGTAGGATAATACCTGAAGAGATGTTCCTTTGAGTGACCTGTCCCCAAGTCATTTGTGTGTCATAGACTGTACCCCTATTTTAAATTAGGCCTGAAACTGGTCTGGTAGGCTGTTGGCCGAATACTCTTGGATTGGTGAACCCCAATGGTCTATTGTGAACTATCTAAATTTTCCAAATCATTTTCCAAAGGAACTATTTCTCTAATTCATTACAGTAATCCAGGTGGGAGGTTATCAGTAAAGGAACATGGGGCTGACCTTGGGGATGGAGTGAGAACCATGGGCGTGGTGCAATAGGGAGTCAGCTGTTAAAGAGGGACTGAAGGAAGCATGAGAAACAAAATCTAAATATACCTTGCTTTTGTTCATTATAAAAATGTGACAGAGAAAATTGAACAGGCTTTCAAGATTCTCTCATAATCTACAAAAACAAGGCAGTATTTCTGGAATTCCTGTGATCTGATCTATTTCGAAGTGCAGACATCAATCTTGAAAAAACTTTTTCATTTTCTTTATATTCCATCTTGTGCTAACAACAACAAAAATCATGATGGGATTAGTTTGTCCCGCAGGCTTCCTTCTACCTCTGGACTTGTTCAAGCATATGTTAACATCTTATACCTTCCCCCATTCCCTCTCCACCACCTCAGATTTTTCCCAAGATGAGTTCTAAATTTCTTTACCAGAGCATGAATAATGGCTATAAGATACCTCTGTCAGAGTAAGGTCAGCTTAAGCATTCAACAAGGCCTCTTAATTTTCTGGTGCTAATTTTGTGTTAGCATCCCATATGTACCCCCTTCCAGAATAGAGTGGACACTACTGAGTTGAACTGATGAGCCACACATAGGCAATATCTCTGCCTTGTGTGGATTGAGCTTCAATTTAGCCTTCTTCCCCTCTATTATCTCTCTAGAACAGGGGTCTCCAAACTTGGCAACTTTAAGACTTGTGGACTTCAATTCCCAGAATTGTTCAGGCAGTGTGGCTGGCTGTGAAATTCTGGGACTTGAAGTCCACAGGTCTTAAAGTTGCTAAGTTTGAAGACCTTTGCTCTAGAACAGTGGTTCTCAACCTTTTTAATGCTGCGACCCCCAACCGGTCGTAAGTCGAGGACTAAACTGGTCGTACGTTGAGGACTAAATCGGTCATAAGTCAAGGACTACCCAACCGGTCATAAGTCAAGGACTTTCCCTGCCTGGGAGCGCCGCGCATGCGTGGTGCTGCCCCCTGCGCCGGCCGAGAAGGAGCAGGCCGACCACCGGCTGGGCCACCAGCTGGCCCAGCCCAAGGGAGGTAAGGCACCCACCGGAAAAGGGGAAAAAAGGCGGACAGCCTTGGTTGGCGACCCCCGTGAAATGGTCGATCGACCCCAAATGGGGTCGCGACCCATATGTTGAGAACCGCTGCTCTAGAACATTGACTGCTTTGCCTGTATTAGAGGAAAATGAGAAATAAAGCCTGAATCCATATATGTCACATATCAATGTTTTTTGTAGAAATAATGAAATTTTTTCCCTTCTTATAATACTAAAACGTGGGCTTATTTAGTAGAAACATTCAGCATTTTTTTTATACTGGAAAATTTATTTATGGCATATATTTACAAAATTTGTTACATGAAATAGTGAGACCCCCCTAGCTGAAATTAGAAAGTAATCCCGTATTATTGTTTACATGGAAGAGTCAGCCAGCTACAGAAAGAGAAGGCAATCTTTTGCATGTTACAGCTGTCTAGGAGAAGGAATTTTATAAATACATTTTATTTTTTCCTTCTCTCCTTGATATGATGCTCTGATCAATCATTTCTTTCAGCACAATGATTAAAGGTGGCAGGAATATATCATCAATTTTTATATGTACTTCTTTGTCTTCCCTATGACTTCCCTGTACTGTAATATAAACCTAGAAAGAAATCTGAACTGATAGCTATCAAAGGAAATAAATGCCCCACTTCCACTTCCACAGAACACACAACTCATGTTCTCCACGGCAGTCATAAAGTGACTAAAGATCAGCATGAAACTTACATGTGCCCCTTTTTTTCATTAACATTTCAGATGCCTTCTTTTAGCAAGCACTATTAGCTTGAGGCCCTTAGCTGAAGCCAGATAGATTTTTAAACATCTAGTGCTGGGTGGACAGTGACATCTAGAGGCCCTTTTTAGGACTACAGCAGAAATATAGGTAGCTACCACAGCACAAGGGAAACGTCAAACTTAGAGCAGTGTTTTCAACACCATAGTTGTATGGTAAAGGGCAATGACCTATGTCTATAAAATGGAAAACCTAAGAACAATTGGAAGTGCAGCAATCTGAGTAGCATGAAAATGCAATGGAAAAGTGAGTGCTAAAGAACTTATTTAAAGATCAGATTCAGGATATAAAAGGTACATTGCATGATCAATATTAAACAAAAATATAAGTGGGTGGGGCATACTGTATACATGCATGGCAATAAATGGACTCCAAATATAACATTATGGTTGTTCTATAAGTTTGGATGCCCAGATCCTTGCCTTTGAGTTGGAGATGAAAAAGGGGAAACCCAGGCCTCAGTTGGATCATTACAGAAAATAACCACGTAGTTTTATTTTGGGCACTTAAATGAATATTATAATTGAAGAATTGATGTACATAGAGCATCCCACTATATACTGATATGCAGAGTTTCTCCAACCTACTGACCTCATGTAAGTTGGAACCTATATCCTTCCTAGATTTGTTAGTTGAGAATGATGAGTGTCGAAGTCTTAGCATATATGTAAGTCCTAAATTAGCGAAAGCTAAGCTACTGTTTTCTGCTGCATAATTGCACTAGAGATGGGGAAGGGGAGTTTGTAGGAGGAGATTCAAATCACAGCTGCAGAGATATTTTGTTTTCTGGCCCAAGTCTTTTAAATGCTATGTTACAGTTATTCGTACATCCATGTGACACTTATATTATTCTCTTTATCCTTTACTGAACTTTAGTCACAGTTATAATAATTGTAATTGCCAGAAATCTATCCAGGCAAAAGTTCCACTAGGTTGCAACCTTCAAAATCATCCAGTGTGACATTCTTTGTTAATTAAATGCTAGGAGTTGTTCTGCCACTGCTATTACAAAGATCCTGAAAGATGTTGAGAATGAGAACAATTAATTAAATTACAATTTCATTGCTAGCTGTTTTGTTTTCATTGGTCCCAAGCTTTTTCATTTATTTTAAGGTCCATTAATGTCTTTGGTTGGAACAGGCACGTGTGTTAATGTGTGGGATCAAGTAACAATGCCGGCCTTGTCAGACAGCAGAGGAGGCCCTATTTGGTCCCTCTGTACTGCTTTGTTTCTCAGGATGATAATCGGCATCTTGGCAGAAACCTGCACCTTTGGGGTGGGGGTGGAGAGTTGTTTTCTACAGTGTAATCTTTGTTTGGAATCACCAGCTGCTCTGTGACATCATCAGGCTGGAACTTCTTATACAACAATTGCTATCCAGGCAGAGGAGGAAGACCCTGGCAAAGGGAAGAGATGGTTCTTCAATTCACCTGAGAATCATCTCCCCCTCTCCTAACAACTGAAGCCCTCCCCTTAGCAGATCCAAAACCTCAGCTGTTTCTGTGGCTCAGCTGAAAAAATGGAAGTCCTGAACGATTGTCCTTCTCTATGTTTGTGATTCTAGCTGCGCCTTCTCCCAGCCTGGCTATTTCATCCCAGGTGCTCTGGCATTGCCAACTGTACTGCTGGCCTCTACAGCGTCATAAGTGAGTCATACAGGGAAGGGGTTAGAAAAAGAGCAAGGCACTGTTTGGCATCTTTTCATGTTCTTTTTCCTCAACTTTTCCCTCTATGTGATCGGTTGTTAGCATTATTTCTTTTCCTCTTCCAGCAAGGATCTTTATGCAATCTTCTTGACATTTGCACCTGTGCTCTTATGGAAAGAGTGAATCTCACTTACAATTCCTGAAAAATGGAGCACGAACTTGGAAGGTAATCTAAATTTTGTCCAGATGATTAAGAAGTTTCTCAAAAGCACAGACTCTTAATTGGGTTTACCAATTAAAGTCCAAGATTCAAGTCACTTTATAGCTGACCTGAATAAATAAATACAGAAGGGTTGTACTCTACATTGCTTGCCACTGTCCCTATCATTTTTTTCATTGCCTGAAAGTTGCTGATTAACCATACATTATTCTTCATGGGAATAGTTGCTAGGAAGATGTTGCAAGGAAGATGTCTAGCCTTCCTTGTATTTAAAGACTGGAGATGAAGCAAGTTCTTCTGCCCATATGTAGAATACCCTAGTGGAAAGTTATATGAAAGAAACAGTGTGATGCTTTTTATAGGCTGTTGCCTCCAATTTCTGGAAGCAAACTATTCCATTCATTAATTGTTCTCACTGTCAGGAAGTTTCTCCATAATTCTTTGCTGGATGTCTCTTTGATAATCTTTCATCCATTACTTCTTGTCCTGCCCTCAGCTGATTTGGAGAGTACTGTAGGTCAACTCTCTCTTCTCTATGACAGCCCCAAAATATGGGAAACTGCTATCATGTTACCTCCTAATTCTTCTCTTTGGTAGGTTAGACACACCTAGTTCCTGCAACCATTTATCATGCACTTTTAGCCTCCAGTCCCCTAAATCATCTTTGTTGCTCTTCTCTGCATTATTTCCAGAGACCCAACATGTTTTAGCATTGTGGTCACCACAACTGAACAGAGTACTCAAAGTGTGGTCTTTCCAAGCGGTACTAATATTTCACATGATCTTGATACTATTCCCTCTATTGAGTAAAGGTATTTAAGTGGTTGTCCACTAAGACATCTAGATTCTTTTCACAGTTCCTGCTAGTGAGCCATATTTGACAGCTATATATTTTACATCTACATATTTACATATCTAGATATCTAGATAGATATCTAGATATCTAGGTAGGTAGGTAGGTAGGTAGGTAGGTAGGTAGGTAGGTAGGTAGCTAGCTAGCTAGATAGATAGATAGATAGATAGATAGATAGATAGGTAGGTAGGTAGGTAGGTAGGTAGGTAGATAGATTAGATAGATAGAGGGTATAATATATAGATTTTGAAATATCTACATATTTGACATCTACAATTAATTCTGCCTTCTCAGTTCAAGATCCATATTCTGGAATAAACAAAAGATTTGTGGAAAAAGTTCAAATTGTACTTTTTTAAAACCCAGGTTTTTACTTTCAGTTTATCTGTCTTCATATTTAACATTTTAAATCACAAAGATATTGTTTTCTTGCTTTATTATTATTTAGGTTTTGTTTTAATTACTTCCTTTTTAATTGTATTTTTGTAAGCCATCTTGAGTTATTAAAGCTTTTGATTATTCATTTCTAAAGAAATGAATAAATAATCTAATAATTTAAAGGATAACTGAAGCATCCTATGCATTTCTAAATCATGTTTTTATCAATTCATTTATTTGTACCTATTTATTTATTTGCATTTCCTATAAGAGAAACAAGGATGTCTCTATTGTTGTCTATCTGTTGTGTTTTCTTCTGCATTGTGTTGTGCTTACTTTCTCATAGAGAATCCAAAAATGAGATTGTGCAGGCTGAAAACATCACGCCTACGGGCCCAGATGAACAACCTGATAACAACATAGTCGAAGTCTTAAATGAGCAGGCTGAAGAGACCATCCGTCTCCAAGGCCCAAATGAACAAACTGAGGAAAATGAAAACCAAGGCCTAGATGAGCCGCTTAGCGATAGCACAACTCAAAAGCTAACAGAACAAGAGGAAAAGAACCAGCCCCAAGAGCTAAGTGAACTGAGTGAAGGAAGCCAACTTCAAGACCTGAGCGAGCAGGATGAGGAAAACCAACTTCAAGAGCTAACCGAGCAGGGTGAGGAAAACCAACCTCAAGATCTGACCGAGCAGGGTAAAGAGAGCCAACTTCAAGACCTGACCAAGCAGGGTGAAGAGAGCCAATTTCAAGACCTGACTGAGCAGGGTGAAGAGAGCCAATTTCAAGACCTAACCAAGCAGGCTGAAGAGAGCCGATTTCAAGACATGACTGAGCAGGGTGAAGAGAGCCAATTTCAAGGGCAAAGTCAGCAGGGTGAAGAGAAACAACCTGAGGAATTGAGTGAAACAGCTGAAGAGAATCAACTTCAAGAACTGAGTGAGCCAGATGAAGAGAGCAAGCCCTCAGATATAAGTGAACTAGATGAAAGTAGCAAAGTACAAGATTTAACTGAGCAAGTCAAGGACAATGAGCCCCAAGATTTCACATATTTGGCTGTGGAACCAATAAGGATGCAAGAACAGACAATCCTTTATGATCAGCCAGCCCCACCCTCTTTTATTGATTACCTAGCTATTTCTATTACTGGAAGGCAGGATGAACAGGGCAGATCAGCTGCTCCAGAATCCATATTAGATATGTAAGTAATCCTCTGGCATTGCAAAATTAAGATTTTAGCTTTAATATCTGGTTGCTAAGAAGAAAGAATGGCATTTGTGGATGTATATAAGCCAGAGGTCCCCAACGCCCGGTCCGTGTACCGGTACCGGGTTGCGGCATGCCAGCAACCGGTCCGTAGAAACAAGCAAAGCCCTGTCCATGGGATGTAGGCTGCACACAAATCCACCCACTCTCTGGTCCATGGAAAAACTTTTCTCCATGGAACCAGTCCCTGGTGCCCCAAAGGTTGGGGACCTCTGATATAAGCAATCCTGGAGGGAAAATCTAACTGATCACAACTATAATGAAAGAGATTTTATAAGTGTAACAGAAGAGAGGTCAATTAAGAAAGTACTTGATAGGAATAAGCAAAGCCTGAGCTGACCATACCCTATAAGAAAGAGAATCAGAAAGTAAAAACTCTGTGCATGGGTGCTTGAGAACGAAAACAAAAGGAAGTAGCCTGAAATTAGTAATGTCATAGACAGGCAGAGGGACAAGCAAAAAGCAAAAATGAAGAATTATTTTATGGACCTTGGTAGTCAATAGGATAGTCAGGGCAATACTAAAATGTCTTCCCACTTGCCACTCTGGTCCGTGATCTTTTGAAAAGTGTTTACCTACTTCTATTTTCAGTTTTTCCCCATGATGGATGGATAGATGGGTGGGGGAGGAGGGAAAGATAGAGATAGGTAATAGGATTTATATCCTACCTCTTCTCCAGAAAAGTGTTTCTCAGTCTCAGAAACTTTAAGAACTTCAACTCCCAGAATTTTCCAGCCAACCATGCTCTAAAAGGTCTGTGGAATACAGCAGATTGGCTGAGAGAAAGTTGCTGAATGAATTTCTACAGCTGAGGGAGAACTAGTACCCAAGTTTTCAGTGCAACCTCCCATTTTAATTTATTCATCCAAAATGTTCTTAACCTTGTTTCAAAATATTTCATTAAGTATTCACCTTCATGTTTTCTGGTAATGATATAGTAAAGATTGACTTTTTTAAAAGAACATATTTAACTTGGTTCCTGAATTAACTTATTTATCTGATGTACTGAAGCAATTCAGCAAAAATCTGGTATTGTATTCACGTGAGACACTAAACCACCAAAAGAAAACCACTTGACTAAGCTTAACACTAGCCAGGTTTAGCACATAGAAATGCAGGAAGTAGGTTTGGAACTGTCCCAGTGAAGCAAGTTTTAAGGCATAAGATTGAAGTCCATCCATAAGTTTAACCAATATAGCCAAGGTGGAAAGAATCTGAGAGAGACAATTTAACAAAATTTGTAGAACTGCATGCTGCCCACTTCTGGCTTAAGGAAATTTATTGAAGTAAATTTTTGTTTTTCTCCTCCCTTCAGGATTCAGGTAAAATGTTGCTCTTTGATTTTTTTTTTTTTAAAGGCTCAGTCCTAAAATACAACTGAATTTGAAAGCTTGCAGTATATGGATAGATGGATTCATATATCATATTTAAACTCTTTCTCAGATAATTAGCATGGGTGGAGTGAAGAATTCATCTTCAGCATTGGATGGTATTAAATAATTACATCACTTGCAACATTTTGAAAAGAATAGCAAAACAATTTGAGAAAGAACATTTTAAAATATAAAATACCTGTTTAATATAGTGTATTTAGATTTCTCTTTATATATTTTCTAAATATATTATTGTCCCCTCTGAAAAATGATTTGTTCCTCTCTTACACTAGTACTCAACTTGAAAGAAAAGACAGCAAAATCCAAGATATAAAGAAAATTGAGAGAAGTAAGATTTTCTCAGAAATAACTGAGAGGGAGCATTATCAACCTGCCACTGAAGTTTCATCACTAAAACCCAGAAAGAAATCTGCTAATATTAAAACTGAAAGCTGTACTCCTATTCCCAGAAGTTACTATCAGCATACCAAGTAAGCAAACAAACAAACAAGTTTTGAGTTAAGATGGCTTCCCATTGAAGCCCAGAAATCAGAAGGAATCCAGTAGCAAATTTTCAAACTAACCAATTTTATTAAAAGGTATGTGTTTTCAAGAGCAGCAACTCATTTCATTAGATGCAATGGAGAAGTATGATAGAAAATTTCAGTTGAGACAAGGAAGGAAGGAAAGGTACTTATGCAGAGGCAGATTACATGTGAGACAGCATACAAGCATCTTGTCAATTAAGATAATAATGTTTGCGAAGGGTTTGATGAAGATGCTGGCTCTTTGTTAAGTATCTTCAGTATGTAGGTTCTTGTTCATTATGAAAACTGGCTTCAGGTTGGATGGTTTATTCATTGATTTGATTTATATGACTGCTCATTTCACAACAGCAACTCTGGATCGCTTACATTTAAAAATACTATAAAACATAATATAAAACACAGGCATAGAGAGTACAGGAGATGGCCTTGAGAAATACATGTCAAGGAACCAATATCTAGCAAAAGGAGCTATTATTATTTTTAAATCCAGAACAGTGAGATAACATTTAGAAACAGCTGAGACAGATGCCTCTCTTATTCATACTCCCTGTTAGACTTGCGGGTTTCTGCTATTACAATCAATCTCAATAGTAGTTTGAGCCTTTGTCTGGAGTTGTGTTCATGGTCTGGTCTTCCTTGGGGTGCTGGCATCAGCAGCAGATACAGCAGCTGAGAATGAAACCAGTTAAAACAAAAAGCACATCACAAATTCCTGAGCTAACTCTCTGATCACCATGCAAGGTGAGCACATATCCCTTTCAAAGGCCAGCAGGATAGGGACCCATCTAATCTCATAGGAAACAGTTTTCTACAGGGCAAGGACAAAGGCTCACTTCCTGGTTCTGCAAGACAACCTCCTTTATTGACAGGATCCACAGCATATTCTCCTTCTAAAATTATGCCAGCCTTCAGGATAGACCAGACTAGAAGGAAGCTTAGAACTATATTTTATTGAGATAAGCTATAATAATAAAAACTTGCAAACCTAATTACACTTTACTTTCCTTCTCTCTTATATCCCAGTAATCAGGAAGAGACCTGTCTGAGTGTCTTCCAAATGCAATCTTACTCTATTTCCTAGGATTTATGAAATGTTTCAGTCCTTTTTGTTACATAACATTTCTTGCCTATTTCCCTCAAGATCTTCTCCCTGGTTCTCCACAATCTAATAGAATGGCTAAGGACAATCCAGAAGGGCCAGTTCTGCTATTAAGCTGGCCCTCTGCCATAAAGCACTTTATGGGTAACAAATAGTACTTTGAGGTATACCCAGGCGTTCCTGGAAGCCAATGTGGAACTGCAACAAGTTGTTAACATTCATAACTATCGGCATCATTGCATTCTTCACAGCTGTAGCTTCTGAATTCTCTTCAAGGGCAGCCCATATAGAGTGCAATGCAGTAATTCACTTGAGAGGTAATTAAAACATGGCTGACCATGAGCAGAGTTCCCAGTGCAAGAAAAAAGCAACAGTCACACATGATGAAGTACAAAAGTTTTCCTGGTCATGTCACCAACTCTTCAAAGAGGAGTCACAAGTCCAAGAGGACTCCAAAAGTGTTTACCTATCCAGAAAAGATGGATTTAGGAGTCCCTAAAAATCTAAAGCCATTCCAGTCTTGCTGAGGTTAAGGTGAAGCTTCTTTTCTATTCAGACCCTTGTAGGCATTCAGACAAGACCTATAATGCTTCACATGATGTCTGATGATCTCATTCAATGGCTTCATATAAATGTTAGAAATGGGGACAGCCCTGGAGCCCCCCTCAAAGCAGAGTTTTGGACTTAGTATCTTCCCTGTCATCAACACCTTGTGGCAGTGAGGAGATTCAGGTTCAAATCCACTCTCAAGTATGGAAACTCAGTTGGTTAGCTACACTATTTCAATCCATCATATCTCATGGAGCTGTTGTTGTGGTAATAAAATTAACAGAACCTGCCTTGTAAGACACTTGGAGTTCTTGAAGAAAAGGTGGAATATATTTTAAGTACAGTATAACAGACTAATTAACAAGAAGCAAACTTTTGTCCCTGAACTCTCTTTATCAAGTGTATGAAGAGCTACATTACCACAACTGAATATAACAACCTATCCAATGATGGTGCTGGGTGGGAATCATAGGAACTATAATCTCAAATCTGGAAAACATTGAGTTTGGGATACACAAAATAGAATTTATATTCACTTGAGGGACATAATAGTAATGTGAGCCATCAGCTATCACTTGTATTAACAGGACTTTTGGCTTCAAATTATAAAGCCTCTTTCCCATCTCTGAATATGCAACATTCTGATTGAGGTCACAACATGGGCCGGTACCATGGGATTCTTGTTGGCATTTGGTACAAAAGACCACACTCTCCACTTCTCTGTCTGCCCTTGTCATAAAACTAGAGTTAGGTTATTAGATGAGTTCCACAATGTGATGTATTTGAAACTGAAGATTCCTGTTGACAAATTGGCATAGAAATGAAAACCAAACACAAGTCACCTTTTTATAGACAGGAACTTACAAAAAATCCTCAGATATGATGGCGATGTTTTTTGAGTTTGGGGAAGTGCTATACAAAATAGCTTCGTTAAACTTACATGAGGTCCTCTTTTAGGATATATTGTAACAAAATAAGAGTATCACTGAAAATTAATATCTTTTGGTATCATAATCTTAAGATAACTTATGTCTTATACACAGCAGGTTGCTCAACTCAATATGTATATATAAACATCTAAGGATGGTGGCCTCCATATATGAAGGGTGCTGGGCAAAATGTCTTCTAGAACATTTACCTCTCAGAAAATGAATTTCTCCCCTGCCAACTGGTCCTGACCAACCCTGACTTCCCTAGGTTAAAATCTTCAAATAAAGCTTTATGCTAATTTTGGTTTAGCTTCTGCAAATCCCCTTAAAGATTTCAGGGTCACACTTCAGCATCTTTTTTGCCTCCAGACATGTAGCTCTGCTTTTATGTCCACTTAGAGTCTCCGTTTCTTAACTTAACAAGGGGGAAAAGAAGGAACTGGGAATGGAGGATTGCCCATTTATTAAAGCCTGCTGGAGATTAAATTGTGGCCAGGTCCAGTTGCCCAGCATTCATAATTAGGACTGCCTCAACAATGTACTCTGAGTCTTGGAAGCTCCCCAGTCTGAAATATCTATTCATTTTCTCAGCTAGCTATTTACTTACTTTATTGGAGTTATTCTTGAAAGAGTTCGATTTATTGTATAAAAAAGTGGACAGAGGTCATGATCTCATGGATTGTCTTCTTTATTTCCTATAGGCCAGTGGTTCCCAGAATTACCCTGCCTCAAACATCTGATAAAGCAATTCAGGTGAGAATCATGATCTTTGCAATAAGATTAAAAAGATTTCCCCAGTCCAGTCATGTCCGACTCTAGAGGGCAGTGCTCATCTCTGTTTCTTAGCTGAAACAGATGTCCAAAGACATTTCCATGGTTATGTGGCCAGCATGATTATACACCAAGGTGCATGGAACGCTGTTATCTTCCCACCAAAATGGTACTTATTTCAAATTTGCATATTTTCAAACCAGGCAGGAACTGGGGTAAGAACAGGAATCTCACCCATGCTTGAATCAGCTGACAAGCTCAGTGTCTTTAACCACTGCACATAGGTCCATATGTCATCAATACATAGCATATGCTTTGAGGACAGTTGTTCTACAGCAATGGATGGCATCACAATGTTCTCACAATTAAAGAAATCAAACCAGAGGGATCAATGTAGTCAATAAAGAAAAAACAATAATGATTCTGAAATATCACTGAATGTTCACTGAACACCAACTGCAATTACCAACACTGAATTTTAGGGCAACTTTAGGTAAAAGTAAAAAGAACCATGAATAAATTAAATGCTGCTTTTGTTTAATCCTTATCTGGAGATGCTTGCAGAATCATTCAGGTTTACATAAGCACTGAGAATTTAGAAAGAGTCATCCGAAACTTAGTCTCACATGACCTTCTCACAGTAGTAGTCAAATGCCTCCAGAAAGGATCCAGTCTTTTGTTTGTGTTCCCTGCAAGCAATATTGAAAGTATTTTGCATAAATGATTTGGATATCTGGATGTGTTTAAGCATACACAGGTACAGGAACAAGTTTATTCAGATGTACAAACAAGGCTTATTTTCTCATGTTACTATGAAAAGGTTTATAGGAAAACATCCGTTTAGTAGTCATACTTCTGTGACTTTGGCCATCTTCAAACCTTTACTTTATGATTCAGATAATAATTTAAGATTCTGTGGTACATAAGCATAACAATGGCTATTAAATATTAGATATTTTATTCTTTTCTAGGTCTGTGGATGCTACAAAATTTAAAAGACTATTTGGAATGTGCTGGGGCATAAGTATAGCCCCTCTTTAAAGTAGCCACATTTTTTCAGTTTTTTATGAAAACCTGTAAAAAGCACAGGTGCTTTACTAAGTAGTTTTAAAGATGCAGCTACTTTAATGAATTGATTCATTAAAATATATTAAATTATTTCCAAAATATTACTTTTTAATAATATTTTTCTGACTTTTAGGGGGTAGAAATGTTTTTATTTGGGGAAAAACAAATGGATGTAGACTGACTAACATTGCTAGTTTCACACCACTGTGAAATCTGCTGGGAATATTTCTAAATTTATTTCTAGTAGAATTCATAGTGGAATCCCTTTAGATGAACAAGTTTGTACATATGAGCTTGGCAAATTTAAGATGCCTGGACCAGCTCAGAATTACTCGCTGTGAAATTCTGGGAGCTGATAGTCCAAAAATCTTAAAAGTTGCCAAATTTGATAAACAATGATTTGGAGAATATCCCGGTTGAAGTCTACTCTCAGTCATGAATGCTTACTGGGTGACTTTGGGCAGAATTCTCTCTCAGCCCACCTGACTTTGCAGAATTGCTCTGAAAAATTGGGCAAGGGGGGGGGTAGATGGGTTGCTATATATGTTGCTTTGAGCTCCTGAAGGATAATCAATTTAAAAAATAAATAATGCAATATTGACTTTACCCTCAAAACACATAATAGTCATGGGAAAGACTGAGAGATTGAAACCAAGTAGCAGAGCTCTTCCCAGGTTAAACAATGGGATGTATTTTGGTATTATTTTTCCACTTTCGAACTAACATTTATTTTGAATTGGACAGTGTAATAAGATGCTCATGCGACGCCTGACACCACTTAGGAAGCCACCCCCTCCGAAAGTCACCACCCCCAAAACAAGCCCACAAACCAAAGATAAAGACACCCAGGTGAGCACTTTCTTATCCATGTGTGCAAAGTGGTTCTCTTCCTAAAACGACTCCTTGGATAAATCATCTTTAAAGTACTTTCCACCCACTGGTTTTCTAACTCCAATAAGTGCTTTTTTTTTTTAATTACAAAGGAACACAAACTTAAAACTGATTTCGCAGTATTGAAAAAGTTTTCCCCCTTAGGTTTCCATGAATGTTTCTATCACAGAAGTTTTTTTGTCTCCAGTTCTTTGCCCCTGCCTGCTTTCTTCTGAGTCTTCCTTTTGACCTCCTGTTACAAGGAGGAGAAAAATAACACTGAAGAGTGAGGTCCAGCCTTCCGTTACTTAACAAGGCCAAAATATTGTCTAGTGTGCTGATACAGCCTTGGGAAAGATGCAGGAACATTCCCAATCTAAAAAACTATTTTCTACCATAAGCCCCTCTCATGGGCAAGTGCTTTAGCAGAAGTGATCCACGGGCTTTCTAATATTGGCCCCTAATTTAATGTTTCATTTTAATTAATACATCACCATTGGCAGTTTGACTGTGGTTGCTTAATACGGTTGAGGTTACTTTTAAACTCCTTCTATCTCATTTGCCTTTTTTTTCCTCTCCATAAGTTTCAGCAGATATTTTGTCAACATTTTATAGTTAAGCTAACTCAATGAATCAAGACAGATTGCCCTAACCATGGTTTGTTAAATAGTGATGAATGGCTTAGTTCCTACATGTTTTGGTAAACAGTGGTTTATGGTTCAACATTAAAACCACTATTATTTGTTGAAAACATCATAGATGAAGCAAGCCATGACTTACATGGGATGGGAATCCAGCCAATTATGTTTATGCATGGATCAAGCTTTTGAAGATTTAATTCCAATCTTTGGATGCCATGCTTTAACGGGAATTTAACTTTTATTGGCCAGGTGCCAATAAAAGTTTTCCTTTCCTACTACTACATGTGTGATGACAGTGTATAAAGAAATGTGCATTATCACAATCCTGCTGTCCTCACTATCAGATTACTACTTCCTTTGAAACATTGTTGAAGAGACCACTAGTTTCAGTAGAAAAGAAGAAAAAAGAGAAGAATAAGCCAGTTCCCAGGGGCCCTTCAAAGCAAGCTTCTCCAAGCAAAACCCGCCCATCCCCTTCACGCAGAAAGAGTGTCAGCTCTTCTGGCAGGTAAAAATCCCTTTTCAGCTTGTAATGGGCCAACTCAGGCATTCTTTCCTCCTTCCACTGTGCCTGATCCTTTTTCTGCTCCTGATTTTCCTCGGCAGAAGGAGAAACCTTTGAACATTTAAATATGGAGAGTAAATGTAACGTATGGGGGATTTCTATCAGTGGGAAAATCTTCCTTCAAAGATATTTTGCAATTTCATTAATGTATCTGATGTACATCTATTTTTTCTTTTCATTTTAAAACATTCTGGTTTGCAATTTCCTTCCCTTCTTTAATGATTTCTCCATAATTAATTTTGCACAATATTTTGCAAAATTAGTGGTGCAAACAGGAAAGAGGAGGAACTCAAATCAGTGTCTTGCCCCCTTGAAATTGTTCCTATGCCATTTCTGTAATTCTTAACAGGTTTTTTTTATCTGCATAGTTAAAGTGGCCTGCAGGATTACTTGTTTTCTTAGTCAGACATCTTTAAGCATGCAACAAAATCTGCTATAATCATTATTTCACATATTTCATGCATTGGTTGGAGTTTTACATCAAGCTATGCCATAACCAACAAATGCTGGGGAGAAAAACAACCCAAAGTGGTTGGATTCACAGAACACGATAAGCCAAAAGTCAGACTAACATTTGACTTACTACCAACTTTAAAACCGGTCTTTAATAGTTGTGACACAGTAATTGTTCTGGGCCTATTGTTCCATGTTCTACATAAAAGTATTTGAATGATGAACTGTGAGTGGCAGCTTAATAATAATTTTTATTCTCTCTATAGCCATGTCTCACGATCCATGCCAACAAAAAAGAGCAAGTGAGTAGCCTCCTGCTTATGCTCCATTCTACCTCCTTTTATTTTCTTCCTTTATAATGTTCTCTCTGTTCTCCCTGTTTTGGCTTTCTCAGTTTTTGGGCTCTATGATCTCTCATTTCCATTCCTGGAATTTGCGTGTTAATGTATTGTGCATGCATGTGTCAATAGCTCTCAAAATCAAAAGTATAAAGGTGTGGATGGGCAGGAAAGAAATAATAAGATATACCTAGTGGGTAAGGAAAGAAAGAAAATGTCATGGTGTCTGCATGTGATGCTAATAAGGATGGTTTGCAAAGATGAAGCAGTACTGAGGTGTAGTAAATGAATATAGCTATGTTTCTTATGTCGTGCACTCATTGTAAAACTTGTTGTAAAACTTATTGTAAAACTTGACAGGTACCTATATATATATATATAGGCATAGTGAAGAGACATGAAAGCTAGGGCATTGAGCATATAAATTAAGAGGAGAAGGCGGCAAGGGGCAAGTGTTAAGGCATTGTAATGCAAACTCTATCCCTTATCTATTTGTATGCAATGTTGCAATGCAAGTAAAAAGGACAGAGTTTGGATTGTGGCTTAATGCCCTACATTTATTACTTTAGGTTTTTATGGTTAGGAACAGACAATAATGGTTCAAAAACCGATGTACTGCAGAAAATCACTTGATGATCCTCCACCTCCACATATCAAGGAAGTCAAGTCCAGAAGACCCTATTCATGGCCCCAGTTCTATAGAACTGTCTTCATCCACAAGTCAGACTTGCCCTACTGTTGACTGCTTTCCAGAAGCTTTTAAAGACCAAACTCATCCAGAGAGCTTTTGGTATCTTTGTGCTCTAGTTATTATGGAAGTAATTCATTATTTATTGTTATTTATCTATTACATTTCAGTGCTATTGTTTATTTTTATTGTGTATTTTTTAATTTATTTAATTCACTTATTCAGTCGCAATGGGTATTTCTTTATACTTTGTAACATGTCAGGAATTTTTGTGAAAAATGACAAGATAGGCAGGGGGAGAGAAATAAAGGGGAGGCTGATGAGGCAATTCCTTATCTTACCAAAGATAAGGCTGAAAGGGACGAGCTGAGAATGATATGAATCAGGGTGGGTCCTCACATAATAACTACTAAGATTCAGTTAATGGCAGCAGTAGAGATTGTGGAGATTGCTGCTGCTAAAAACATGGCCACATGATATTGTACTTTATGATTGCATAAGTTAAGGACAGGAATTCCACCCCTAATTACTGCCATAATTTAGAGACTACCTGTAGTGATTTGCTTCTAGATGTGAAAGATTTTAAATTCGATTTAGGTGATACCAGCCTTGAGGTCAAAGATAAGCAGAGGTTATAATGATAATCAGATTTCTGTCCATGTTTTGGCAGGAAGCCTAATGTTATCTACAATGTCCACATAACTGTGTATGACAGGGGGAGAGACATTAATACCCAGTTTATCAAGGACACAGCCTGGGAAGGTAATTTATGTCATTTGGCCTTGTCTCAGTGAAAGAAGTCTTCTATTGGTGAAAAACTCCCTTGCATACAATTATTTTCCTTTTTGATTTGTTGCTTTGTTTGTTTATCACCTAAAATAATATAAGATAATGTATAGTGCTTTAATTCATTATTTGAAACACAAATCCTAATCAGTCCATTTTATTGAATGATTCATATTAAACTGCCATTAATGCTAGTACAGGTGGTCCTTGACTTACAACCATTCAGTTAATAACTGTTCAAAGTTACAACGGTACTCAAAAAAGTGACCTATGACTCACTGTTTTCACTGTTGCAGCATCCCTATGGTCAAATGATTAAAATTCATATACTTGGCTACTGGGGTGTATTTATGATGATTGCAGTGTCCCAAGGTCATGTGATCCCCTTTTATGACCTTCTGACAAGCAAATCTGTGAAGCCAGATTCACTTCACAACCATGTTACTAACTTAATAATTGCAGTGATTTACTTAACAACTGTGCCAAGAAAAGTCATCAAATGCGGCAAAACTCACTTAACAACTGTCTTGTCTAGCAAGGGAAACTGGGCTCAATATGGTCATAGGTCAAGCACTACCTGTAGTGGATGTTCATCTGTGGTTTTAAATTGAACATTGCTTCATTTGTGAATAGATTCGTGACAATAAATGACACCCCCCCCTCCCAATAGTATTTCTTCATTCAGGCACTGCTATACCGAAACCCTGCACACACTCCTTTGTAAAAATGGCTCACAAGTGAATAAATTAAATCTGACACAGTAATAACACAAACTGTAGTTAAAAATATGAACCATTTTAGAGCAAGAGTGTTTCAGTTGTCCAGTCAACACTGTAGACCACAGGCTTAGTAGAGATGCTATAATTTTGACAGAATTCTAGAAACAATTTTTGTGGTCCAAGACAAAAAATGAGATGGGAATGCCTAGAATTTGGGCGTATTGTACAGAACACTTTACCGTTACATCAATTCATTGATTTGGTCTCCAGTTACGATAACTGTGCTTAGTGCTAATTTTAAATCCTAGTTTTAAAAGTCATATAACATAATCTTCTCTCCTTGCCCCATTTTTTAAAGTATTTTAAAAATAATTTTATTAAATTTCAAAAAATAAAAAAGTTAACATACAAAATTACAACTAAAAAGGAATAGTGAGGGAAGTGAACAGCGGGGAAAATTTTAAAAGTGGCATTAAAAAAAAGTAAACGCTCAAATAATCAATCAACGTACTTTGAATCCTCACACTTTTGAGGCACTCTTTAACTTCACTCTTTTTACACTGTTTTATTTGGTTTCCAGAACCAACTTTCTTCTGCCCAACTTCCATTCAATTCCATTGTATTCTGTTCCATTACTTCTGTTAGTAGACAAGTCTATCTTTGATATATTTTCATAAACATATTTGTTTTTCCTGCACTGCTTCTACTTTCAGAACCTGTCATCACTCTTGTCTTTATCACTAATTCTCTCATAGTCCAATGAAGTTTTCATAGAAAACTGAACTAGAAATTTCTTTTCTTCTGAAAAATACTTGCCATCTGGAGAGTTTGGAATGGAACAATCTCTGCCACCACAGGCATTACAAATTATTCTTTTGCCCTCAAAAAATATGCCCTCAAGATTATAAAAATGCACATCTCCTGCTCTACTGTAGGGTTGCACTATTACTGAGTAAGGGAATTTCACAAGACCCAGAACAGATCGCTGTCCATTTTTCGTGTAGCTTTCAATTTGCCTTCAATTCTATCCAGTTTCAGCCAGTTGTGGATATAATTAATGAATAGTATTTTACTTTTCAGATTGTATTGTGTGCTCAGGGCTGTCTAGAATCTGCGCTGTTTTCAATGTCTTGAAGTGTGGCAGAGTTCCTGTCAGCAAACTCCTATTTGTACTTCATACTCTCAAGATTCTAGTGACCAGAGATGAGATGTATTGTGCTCTTCAGTTAATGAATGTGGATGGTATGTGATAACCCTGATGCACAGGCTTTTGTTTTGCTAGCAGTCATTTAACTCATAGTGCATGCTATCTGGGGAAAGCTGATATCCTCATGAAATTCGATTATGTGGAAATCAATATATGCATTAATTTTAGTTTGTCTGACTCAGCCCTATACAATGGGGGTCATGCAAATGGCAGCCTATTTTCCTGCATATTTAGATCACTGAATGAACTTTACAATCTGGGAAAAAGAAAATAAGTTAACCTGCTGCAGAGTTTTTAAAGGTATTACCCGGTACCTTGAACTGCTTTTGCATTTATACAACATGGTCAACTTGGTGCCTGAATTAGTTTATTACAGTATTTAGATTTGCAGACTGAATAATAAACTAATCAAACAGTGTGAGTACACTGAACCTTTTGAACCAATACAAGGTTAACATTAATCCAATTCAGCATGTTGTGCTAAATTGTCAGATATACCTTTACCTGATATGGCTAACTGTATTGTGCAAACACACCCATTGACTGGATTACAGAATCCACTGAGTCAGAACCAAATATATCACATTTTGATTGTGCATAATATATGAAGTTCAGCTATTATAATTTTTGTATACTTTGTATATATACACATATACTCTTTGATATGCTCCTTTCCAATTGAGAAGCCATGTTGACTGAAAATTTCCAAGTCATCCATTCTACGTTCTATATTTGGCCAGTGGCTCCTGAAGAGTGTAGGTGTGTGTGTGCATTCAGACTGATAAAAGCATACTTGCAATATTGCAACAGAAGCCACACTCCATTTCTATATTATCATGCATGCCCAACCCTATAATGATCCTACAGAGGCCCCGATCTAGCCTTCCCTTTGTGCTTTTATGCTTACTTTTTACTTCTTCCTAGTCCATCAACTATTTTTGCCAGAAAGAGTGTTGTCTATAAATATTGGGCAAGGTGCTGGAGATGCTGAAAATCCTGGCTCAAGTTTGAAGGGTCACATATTGTACACCTGTTATAATACCAAATGTTACTCTGTCTGTCAACTTGCTTATCTGCACGTATTTATGTCACTCTCACTTGTAACCTTCCTTCTCTCTTACAGTACTTGGGACTCTGAATTTTTCAGATTTTCTGGAAGTGGTGAATAAGACCTCCCCATTTGCCCAAACAGAAGGTATGAGAAGAAAAACTGAGGCAATATCAAGAGAAATGTTTGCACCAGTGTATGTTTGCCATACCATTGTATGGCATAATTCTGTTTTTTTCTCTCTCTTTATACTTCCATCAACAATTTCTACCCTCATTTTTCTTCATCTGAAAAATATCTGCTGCTTTTCATTTTTTTAATATAAACAAACATCACTCTTGTGATAATGTACATATTTGTATGTTTTGTTTGATGCTTTTACCTGAATGAAAATAAAAATGTGTTTGTCCCTCAGTAGGGGCAAAGAGGAAATTCTGATTGACTACTTTATTTTGTTCAATATGTCACATAAATTACTTTATGATGTTGGGTTGCTTTCATAGCTAATGTCATTTGTGATGGAATAATCACCCAACTCTCTTGATATAGCTAAACTAAGAATAAGGATGTTTCAGCACATCTTAAATTATTCTATATATTTTTGAAAATTTACTTTATAGATTTCAATTGAGAGAAGAAACCCTGCCTACGAAAGTCATACTTTCCATGTTTCATCTCTTGACTTATGAGGAATTAATTGAAAGCAGAGCAAGCTTTTCCTCTCCTTTTCCTTCTCTGCCTTTTGTCATGCCTTATACTTGTATCTGTCTAGTCAAAGCACAGTAGCAGCTTTATGGGATTTTTTTGTTTGTTCACCCCAGCTCATATTTTACACTCCAGTGTCCATGGCAACAATTGGCTGAAGTTGGTTGGCTTGCCCTCAATGTCATCTTCACCCTTAGCTACAACTAAGCTAATAATTACTAATAGAAGCTGGGGTGTTTTTTTCTCTCCCTTTCTCTGCCTCAGAAGTTGATGAAACACAGACTCCTGGAGTTATCTCATTCTTTACTTTTCAGTTGAAGTAACTGTCCATCATGCCCTCTATTGCACTGCTGAACAAGAAGCTGAGCTCTTGGGATGCATTTCAAATCTGTATTCCTTTGGGAACTGCTCATGCTGGAAAGGCGCTTTAGGATAGATAGAAGGTATTGGCTATGAGCTGAAGTTGGAATCTGCAGAGCTCATTGTCTCACACATATTACATACACAAACATATGAAGTGTCTTTCAATTTTTCTTCACTAGTTGTCAGCCTGATCATGGCAGTATCAACAATATTTATTGCATCCCCTTTCTTCCCCCTACTGCCTCTTGAAAGTTAGGAAGACACTTGCCAAACCCTTTGTGTTGCTGTGAACAAGGTGAATTAGATATAGAGAAGGTATGGGGGACCAATGGCTTTTAAAAGGTTGAAAGTGTATGACTTCAGTGCCTACATCTTTGTGCACGGAAGCATCAGTTTTTGCTGTCTTTTTCTTCTGTGTTTCTTCTAGGATTCCAGAATATCCTCTGGGCTTTCAGGAAAATAAAGAAAGATATGGTTTGTATTGATGATCTGAGGTTAATCCTGGAAAACCTTGAAGTCAACCTGACCTGTGAAACTATACATGATGCACTAAAATGCACTCGTATTAATAGTGAGTATCTTCATTTGACATTCTCCATTCCTTTCCCCAGATGATTCCTAAAAGGAATCTCATATCAAAATAGTATCTCAGTGCAGACCATCCAGAGTTAATCTGAATAAACAGCTTCTACTGTTATGCTGGTCTCAATTAGTTTAGGTTTGTAAAAGCTTGAAGTAGGATTTTGAATCATGCTCAGAAATCTGTTAGAGGTATTAGCAAATGCTAGAGATGATAACATTCCTTCTTCTCTTTGTGCAGAAAATAGGCTTCTGAACTTTAAGGAATTTATCCTGGCTGTAAGGGAACTACAGAAGCATCCTGCAGAAGAAGGTGAGATGTCTGATGATTCTTAGTAAATCAGTAGAATCAGTTTTGATGCTCAGTTCCATCTTGTTCTTGCAAGTGAATTAATGTACTATATTGACCTTTGCATTCTAAACCTAACACTTTGATGTTTGCAGAGAAATTATCTCTTTTAGAATGTCATAAGTTCTTTGTTAAGCTATACACAGTTAGACACATCTCTAACACTTGTGTCAAGATTTCAGCTTTATGATATGCTGATTCTGGGGGGAAAGGCTCATATAAGAGAGAAAGAAGGCATCACTGGTGACTGCTATTTTTGCTAAGCTGCCTGCTTTTCTATATACCTTAACTAGTAGAAAAATAAGAAATGATCCTTTGGTAATATCTTGCTAGCCCTAAGAAAGATCAGATTTCTTTTTTTTTTTGTTTCAGGGTTTCTACTTGGTCTCAAGTTTTTAACATTTCCTTGTTCAGGTTTTATCTTTCCCTTTCCACCTAGAAATCCTAAATACTGGGTTTCTTGATACTCCTGATGGCACTTCTTTAGATTGATGGTTAAACCAGCTTTTCTTAGGCTGTCAATTACTAACTTCTAAGTGTTGGAGGTGTTCTTCCCAAGTTTTGCCTTGGAAATTATCTAGATATGCTGCACACTATTTCTCTTTAGCAACTAGGATCTTTTTTCATAAAACGCTGGAAGATAGCTGATGCCCAGTGTAATCCAAAACCACTCTTTGAATTCGAAGAGGCTCTGTGGAGTAGCAAATACTATTTTCTCCTTTGAATGGGATTCCAGTGGAATGGCTAAGTCCAAGGATGATAAATACTTGGCTCCATCTAAGCCACCCAAGAAATCATTAACCCAGGGACTGGATATTCACCAAATGTTATCACCCAGTTTATTTGCTGGACATCTTTGCAAAATCATGTCTCCATTTGATTTTGGTATTAATTTGATCAAAGAATACCAGTCACAGATAGCTGCATAATGTCCATTTGGAGCATCTTGTTTATTTCATTTTGTAATACTTTAAGACATTCTGGAATTCTGAAGGATGCAGTTGAATAGGTTGAATTCCTATTTCTATCCAATGTTCCACCAGGTTCATTAAGTCTAGTTGCATAGTAAATGTATTTTTAAGTCACATACTATGTAGGGAGCCTGCCTATAGCCTGTAGTTTGCTCTCGCGCTAGTAGGCAATAACACTAATACTTTGTTTCCTACATTTAATTCCTTTGATTGTAAACTCTTATCATATTGCTTCTTTTGTTCTTCCTTGCTGTTTTTAAATGTTTATTTATTTGTTCATTTATTTAAATTGTTTGCTGCCCATCCTGCCAAAAGGTGAAAACAAGATAAAACATTGAAATAATAAAATAATGTTTGGAATAGAATAGAATAGAATAGAATAGAATAGAATAGAATAGAATAGAATAGAATAGAATAACAGAGTTAGAAGACCCAGGTTAGAAGACCTTGGAGGTCATCTAGTCCAACCCCCTGCTCAGGCAGGAAACCCTATACTATTTCAGACAAATGGCTGTCCAGTCTCTTCTTAAAAACTTCCAGTGTTGGAGCACCCATAACTTCCGGAGGCAGGCTGTTCCACTGGTTAATTGTTCTAACCATCAGGAAATTTCTTCTCAGTTCTGGATTGCTTCTCTCCTTGATTAGTTTCCATTCATTGCTTCTTGTCCTGCCCTCAGGTGCCTTGGAAAATAGCACCTGAGCTTTGGAGAATACTCAATTCCAGCAACAGTTCTTTATATGTTTTAGCTTCCAATCCCCTGATCATCTTTGATGCTCTTTTCTGCACTCTTTCTAGAGTCTCAACATCTTTTTTACATCATGGTGACCAAAACTGCATGCAGTATTCCAAGTGTGGCCTTACCAAAGCCTAGAACTGTGTTGGCTTTTTTTGGCAGCTGCAGCACACTGGGGACTCATATTTAAGTGATTGTCCACTAGGACTGCAAGATCCCCTCACATTTACTACTATTGAGCCAGGTACCACCTATACTGTACCTGTGCATTTGGTTTTTCTTGCCTAATGTAGAATCTGTCAATATTAACATTGACTAAAAATCATCAAAGATGGAAAGCGAAGGGGCAAGATGTATACATGGTCTAAGTGGAGTAGTATATCAGTCCATTAGGCACATCCAATATGACATGCCTCCATGGGAGACCAGGCCAATATTCCTGGGCAATATGTTCTAGTATCTTTAACTTGGTTCCTAGATTAATATATATATTATATTAAATTCTTAAGACCTTCTAAATTTTCACACCAGCCTTAATAATAACCTCCTTTGAGGTTGCCTCCCATAGAGTAACTTAGAGAGGCTAAATCCAGTGGATGTTTGTGGGATTTCCCTATATGCAAACAATAGAAATGGCAGCCAACCCCATGTTGGATTTAAAAAAAAGAAGGCTTCCAATTGTTTGGGACCTTGCCCCACATATTTCTGAAGGATCTGATACATCCTTTCAGTTAGATCATCTGCTGCAGATAATAAGGGTTGGTATATATCCCTTTTATTGTTGAATCCATGTAAAGATATTTAACTGGAGCTGACTGAAAATTAGATCCTTGATCTGTGAGAATTTCCTTGGGTATGTCTACCCTACTAAGGTTTTTAACATTTTGATGCTTTTGCTATTCTTTTAGCTGGCACATTCCTTAATGAAAAAGCTTCTGGAGAGCGAGTTGCATAGTCACATACAATTAGGATATATCCACTGTCTTTACTGGACTGGGGGAAGAGCCTACAAAAATCAGGAGTATTTTAGAAAAGGGGGTGGGAATAAAAGGCATTCTCTACAATGGAATTTTATTTTGTTCCCTTTTGGTTGATAAGCAGGACAGGATTTACAGTAATGGGCTATATCTGGTCTTAGCAAGTTCACTCTCTTAGCAGCAGTTAATGTTGATGTATGGTTTATGGCCTTCCTTAAGATCTTTGCAGTCCTGGCCAATCCTTTTTAAAATCCTACCTTTGAAAAATATGTGCATTCTCATTATAATACAGTGTTTCACCCAAGCTTCTGGTGAGGATGATTGATTTCCCTTTTTTTCTTTTCCCTAATTCCATCCAGGTTTCTATTTTCACCATTTTGTTCTGGGAGGGGGGATTGTTGTTTTAATTTAATTTTAAATGTTTTTTAATAATTTGTAAATTGGCCAGACTCATTGGAAAATGGGCAGCATATAAATTTAATAAATTATTATTGTGGTTTATCACACAGCCAGCTAGATGTGATCTGGCATTTTTCAGGTCTTTCATAAGGATGTAGGATAGGCAAATGTTGCTTGATGGTGCAAAATGTACTGTCGCAGGATGTTAAACTATTCCAAGTGAAACTGCCTTTTGCAATGGGCTGATGGTGATTTTGTCAATACTAATAGTGTGGAGGTGTTGCTCCAGGTATTGTGGGATAACCTGCAAAGTGCTTATTACGATTGATACTATCTTTGCTTTATTTTGCTTTATTTTGCTCTACCTCCCTTTGCAGGTCTTTGTATTTTGTGATTTTCTTCCTCTCCTATTCTGCTGTCTTCAGATATTGCAATGTCCACTCTCCAGCCTTTTTTTCTTTTGTTTTTCTTATTGACATTTATTAAGTCTGGGGTAGCAGTACTTGTCTCTTTGAATTCTAAGGTCCCAGATCACTTTAGCTTCTTTATTTTCTATTACTTTGTCTATTTTATAGTCCTATTTTATATACTTTTTGCAGATATTCCAATGTATCATTGTTGCTACTTTGTAACTATTGTTTGTAGTCAGTTGGTGCTACCGTTTCTTCACCTTTTTTGCAGAAGCAGCATTTACTGTCCATTGCTGCCTTCTCAACTTTAGTTTTGTATGCATTTGTTCTTAGAGCTTGGTCTTCTGCAGCCAGAATTAGTCTCTCAAGGCAAGCGACCTTATTCTGTTGTTTTTGTGCTATTCTAGATGCTCAGTTATTCTTTATTTCAATTCTTCTGTTTTAGTTAGAGGGATTATCAGTCAGCCAGATGTTTACACTGGATTTGACATATTTACGCCCTTACCGAGTCCTTCCAAGGACATGGGATAGGCAAATGTCATTGTTTGACTGTATTAAAGGTAGCATCACAGATGTAAGCTGTCCCAGGTAAAGCTGCATTTGGAATTGACTGATGGTGATTTGGACAGTGCTGATGATGTTCAAGTGGTGCTCCAATTCTTTTGGGATTGTACCTAAGGCAACTATTACTTTTGGGACTACTTTTGTTTTCTTTTGCCAGAGTTGATTATTCTTATTATTATGCCAATTGGCTTATGTTAAATCATATATTATCTTTTGAAAGTCTCTACTTCTCCTGACAGTATTTCCGAGTGAATACGCGCTCTTGGAACGGAAGCCTTTTCAGGATGTGACTGGGCTTGTCGGTGCTGATTCGAGATGGAGAAGAAAGTATCAAAGCTATTTTGATAGTGAAACATCTGAATCCACAACCCCATACTTCTCAGGACTGACATCTTCATCTACATATAGTGATTTTGACGAAGTCCACAGAAAAGTGTCCTGTCCTTTTGAGCAGAGTATCTTGAAAGATGAACAAGCAGATGAAGATCATAAAATCACAATAGTGAAAATTTTGCAATCCGATACTGCTGACCAAAAAGTGCCCGGCACTGCATCTTCTGTAGACCATGAAGAAAGCAACGCTAAAGAGTCTGACAATGTAGAGGCGAAAAAGTCAGTGACAGATGTTCCTGTTATAGAAAGCACCAGTGCTGAGCCTGAGCCTGACTTAACAGAGGAGAAAAAAGACATATCTGATACTCCTGATCAAAATATCCCACCTGTGGATAATGCAGAGGACAAAGATAAAGAGCAGGACATCGTAGAGGAAAAATCTTAGACTTTGATTCCTCAGTTCAGGTTACTCAGCTTCCACAGGTCACCAGTCAATCTATGTGTAAAGAGAAGGTCGGTTTTCTGAAGTTTCTGAGTTTCCACCAACCAATCTCGTGTAGGGAAATCTCAAGTCTTCTCTGATATTATGTGTGCTCTTTGCCCGGCCATATAATCAGCTGGAGCAAATTTCTAAAATCAAAGATATTAGGAAAGGAAGTCAATTCCTCCTGAAAGTGGAATAAGCTGGGGAGGCATTCAGGGTTATTTTATATGACTCATTGTAGACGATTCCTTGGCAGGCCTGAATAAAATTCAGCAGGTGTGTGTCTATCTAAATCCTTTTAACGTGCTTATTTGTTTTTTTATTGCTGTCTGGCAATTCTAGTGTTTTTAAGATCCTTACTGGATTACAAACAGTGCACCAGGGGAAAAAAGAAATATAGGTGGTCCTTGACTTACAACCATCTGCTTAGTGACCATTCAGAGTTACAACAGCACTGAAAATAGTGACCTATGACTATTTTTCACACCACTGAAGCATCCCTATGGTCACAGGATCAAAATTTGAATGCTTAGGCAACTGGCTCATATTCATGATGGTTGCCGTATCCCAGGGTCATGGGATCACTCTTTGCGACCTTCTGACAAGCACAATCAATGGGGAAGCTAGTTTCACTTAACCAGAATGTTACTAATTCAACAAGTGCAGTCATTCACTTTATAACTGTGGCAAGAAAGGTCATAAAATGAGGCAAAACTCACCTGTCTTGTTTGGCAACAGAAACTTTGGGGATCGTTGTGGTCATAAGTCAAAGACTACCTGTGTCCTAAAGTAAACCAATGCATATATCTATTTTTTTTTAAATTTGGTGTATAGTTGCTTTAAGTTCTTATTTTATAAAAAAAATTAATTCCCCACTCAACATAAGCCTTTTAGGTGTTGTTGATGGAATTAATGGTTGCAGATACAGTGAAACTGAAGTTCTGTTATTCTCTAAGTTACTGTAGCCCTGTACAATTTTTCCAAAATAGCAATAGCAAAAGCACTTAGACTCATATGTTGCTTTATAGCCCTCTCTAAGCAGTTTACAGAATCAGCATATTGCTCCACAACAATCTTAGTCCTTATTTTACCGACCTCACAAGAATGGAGGGCTGAGTCCACTTTGAGCCAGTCAGGACTGAGCTCCTGGCAGTGGGCATAGTTAGCCTGCAATACTGCATCCTAACCACTGTGCCACCATGGCTAAATGGTCTTCAAATTCTTGGCATGTTATGTAAACTCATATAATTCTATATTCTGCATTCATAAAGAAAACTCATCTCTATCTTTAAAAGTTAGCAAAGATTAAAGTTCCCCATTCACTAATGGCATATATATGAATAATATATAAAAACAAACACTTCTGCAGCATGTTCTCTGTTCTTACAAATCCATTCTGAGACCCACTGTGTGCTTCTGGAGCTGGCTGTGAAAGTTTCATAGAGACACAAAGCAACCTCTTGTTTAAGACTAATTCAGTAAACAAAATTCTATCATGCATAAACTAGGTAGTTGTTTAAAAAAAGAAAGAAAAATCAGTAATTTGCTAGTGCAAGATTATTTAAGTCACTAGTTAAAGCATGATTTATTTTCATATATTCAAATTACCGTTTTCACTGACTATTTTTTTTATTGTAAATATTTATTAAGTTTTTAAAATTTTACAAAAACAAAACAACCCATCCCCAGACCTCCCCAACCCTCCCATTCCCTCCCCCGACCTTCCCAGAGCTGAACATAGGCTTAATTAAAATTTCTTCAAATAATCTAAAAAAAATATAAACCATGAATAAATCTAAATACTGAATACATTAATTAAACAAACTATAAGATAATTAACAATAATATATGTATATTAAAAAAACATAAATACCAGAAAAATAATACTTGAGAAAAAAAAAGACTAAAGAAAAAGAAAAAAGAGAAAGATAAAAAAGTATATATAAAAAAAGAAAAAGAATAAAATCTATAAAATATTTTAAATTTTAAATATAAGTTATTGAAAAACTAAATAATATTTTTTAATATCCAACTTATATTGTATAAAATCTATCCATTTTTTCCATACGGCAAAATACTTCTCCTGCGATTGATCCTTCAAGAAAGCCGAAATCTTTGCCATTTCCGCCAGATAAGAAACTTTAAAAAACCACTCTTGCAAAGTAGGCAAAGATTCCTTCTTCCAACATTGCCCTACTAACAGCCTTGCAGCTGTAATTAAATTCAACATCAATGTAATCTCTTTAGTATCACAATCAGTAACAATACCTAATAAAAACAATTGTGGGGTAAATTTTACCCTCCTTCTAAAAATTCTTTGAATATTCCACCATATCTTAATCCAAAAGGCTTTTATATTTTTACACGACCACCAAATATGATAATAAGTAGCATCCAAACAACCACATCTCCAACATTTAGGCTGTAAGTCAGGATACATACGAGACATTTTTTGTGGATCAAGGTGCCATCTGTAAAACATTTTATAAAAATTCTCCCTTAAATTCTGGGCTTGTGTAAATTTGACATTCCTCACCCAAATAATTTCCCAGGTATCTAGTAAAACTGGTTCGCCAAAATTTTGTGCCCATTTGATCATACAATCTTTAATTAATTCTGCCTCTGAATCCAATTCTACTAGCACCCCATAAATTCTCTTGATATGAGTTCGTCTTTGGTCTTTTACTTGTTTAAAAAAAATTTCATCTTCTCTAAGTAAACCCACATTACAATCCAACTTCCACCTATCCACTATTTGTCTATACTGAAACCATGAATATTTAATATTTTCTTGTGCTAGATTTTCCAAAGATTTTAACTGCCAATTTTTACCATCCCATCTAAGTAGTTGTGAATAAGAAACACCATCCATCTTAACTCCTCTCCTTATCCCCTCTATCGCATGCCCAGGTATAGCCCATAATGGAATTTTAAAATCACTTCTATAATATTTCCTCCAAACCCGAAATAAAGAAATCCTTATAATATGAGATTTAAAAACCCTATCAACTTTTTAATTAAAAATTAAATAGGCATGCCATCCAAAAAGTAAATCCCAGCCCTCCAAGAGGAGTATTTCTACATTTGTTAAATTAACCCAATCACTAATTAATGTTAAAACCACCGCATCATAGTACAGTTTCAAATTCGGTACCTTGAGTCCACCTCTCTCACGAATATCTTGTATTATTTTAAGCTTTACTCTTGGTTTTTTCCCCGCCCAAATAAATTTATTGATACCTTTCTGCCATTCATTTAAATTAAGCTCATTCTTTAAGATAGGTATCCTTTGAAATAAAAAAAGGAACTTTAGCAGAACATTCATTTTAATCACCGCAATTCTTCCCAAAAGAGATAATTGCAATTTCTCCCAGTTTTTCAAATCTCTTTGTATCCTGACCCATAACCTTTCATAATTATTTTTGTACAATTTTACATTAGAAACAGATAAAATAACCCCCAAATATTTTACCTTATCAACAACCTCAAAATCAGTCAACTTAACCAAAGTCTGCTTATCCAAATTGGTCATATTTTTAGGTAATATTTTAGTCTTGTTATTATTAATTTTAAAACCCGAAACCCATCCATATTGGTGTATCAATTGTAATAACTCTACTACGGAATAAGTAGGTTGGGACAAGGTAATCACAAAGTCATCTGCAAAAGCTCTTAATTTATATTCCTTTTTATTAACTTCTATTCCTTTTATTTCCTGTGATTCTCGAATTTTAATCAACAATATTTCCAAAGTTAAAACAAACAGCAGTGGTGACAATGGACATCCCTGTCTAGTCCCCTTTTCTATTGTAAAAACCTCTGATAAGCCCCCATTAACAATAAGTTGTGCCGTTTGTTTTTAATAAATAACACCCAAAGCTTGTAAAATCTTTTCTCCAAAGTTCATTTTCTCAGTTAATCTTAACATAAATTGCCAATTCAATTGGTCAAAAGCTTTTTCAGCATCTAAAAATATCAATCCTGCAGGAACTTGATTATTTTTGTCTAGATATTCTAATAAATTAATAATCTGTCTGACATTATTCTTCATGTACCTTCCAGTTATAAAACCCGTTTGATCCTTGTGTATAACCTGATGCAAAACCCTCATAAGCCTATTAGCCAAGATTTTTGCAAAAATCTTATAATCTACATTTAAAAGAGATATAGGTCTATAATTCTTTGGTAAGGTAACATCTTGATCTTCTTTTGGGATTAAAGATATAAAAGCTCTACCCCATGATGGGGGAATCTCTGAACCCTGTAGTATATTATTAAAAAGCTCTCTTAAAGGTTGAATCATCTCTTGTACCAAAGTTTTATAATAAATAGATGTCAGACCATCCGTGCCCGGTGCTTTGCCTAATTTTAATTCTTTAATCACTATCTCAATTTCCTCACTAGCAACTAAACCATTAATTTCTTGTTTCTGATCTTCTGTTAATTTAGGAAAGTTGGCTTCATTTAAATAATTATCTATATCTAAAGCCTGTATTTTAGTACTCTTATATAATTTTTGATAATAATCTAAAAAAGATTTCTTAATCAAGTCCTTATGATATACCAATTTACCATTATAGTTTATTTTATCTATAATTCTCTGTCTCTGTTTCTTTCTTAATTGATAAGCCAACCATCTCCCTGGTTTATTAGCATTGCAAAATGTATTTTATTTCATATACAGTAAGTTAGTTGCAGTTTGATCAGCCATCAACATATTAAATTGTGTTTTAAGCAATTTTATAGATTCTTTAACCTTTTCATCTGTGGGATTTGAGATCAAAATTTTTTTCTTTTAATTTAATCTCATCTTCCAATTCCTTACATTTCTGAATCTGCTTTTGTCTATGAACATTATTCATTTGTATCAAAATCCCACGCATGAAGGCTTTACCTGCATCCCATACCATTGACATTGAAGTTCCCTTATGCATATTTAAAGCAAAATAATCCTTTAAGTGCTCCTTTAATTTTTGAACATTCTTTTCTTGTCTAAATAAATTTTCATTCATCCTCCACGATCTCCTCTCCTCTCTTTCATCAACCAACTCCATCCAAACTGGACTATGATCCGTCAATGTCCTAGGAAAAATTTTAACATTCTTTATCCTAAAATATAAATCATTTGTAATAAAAAAAATCAATTCTTGAAAAAGATTGATATCTATCTGAAAAAAAAGTGAAGTCTCTCTCCTCCTGATTGCGCCAGTAGTCTCGTAGCTCCCAGTCCTCTTTCAAATCAAAAAAAGCTTTAGGTAATTTAGCCTGTTTAAAAGAAATAGAAGAT